GCTTAAATAGACGTTTACGAGTACAACGTTAACGTCATTCAACTCAATCGTAAATAATGAGATACAATATGACGAACTATTATAGATAAGCCGGCATTCTACAGTTTCCGAAAACAGGTCCGTCGTCACGGCAGTTGTAGGATAAGCGGGTTTTTGTGGAAGCAATCGTCGATATACGATAAAAATAGAAAAAGGAAAAATAATAGGTATATAATAATTAATAATATAATTTGTTATACAGCAACGGCATCTATTGACAACTAAATTTTAGTGGCCAAATACACCTATACCATCGCTTATCTGTATATTATAAAATCAATGGTATTATATAAGTTCTTAATAATATGATTTAAAACATGACTTACCGCACAACGATGTTCGCTTAACAATCATTAAGGAGAAATAATAATTATCGTTTTCTCTTTTTCAAAAACGAATTACCTATGAATTACTAATGGTTTCTATGCATGATACATATTTCATTTACGATGCTTCGTTAATTTAAAATTAATAGCTTGGTAACTGCGTTAAAATCGATTCACGCATATCGTAATACCTATATATACCACCTCTCCGTGTTCGTGTTTATTGTCTTTGAGTAACTGTGTAGTTATACATTACCTACGTGTTGGGATGTTAAATTAAGTGTCGGCTGATTATTCTTGTACACAGTATACAAGTACGCTTTTGACGTGTATAATATAGATGAGCTGTCGAAAAGTCCACAATTGCATTACACGTATAAGAGATAGGTAGGTAGCCAGTGATCATTAACGTTAAAATTTGCGAGAAAAATAGTAATGTTAACATGCAAACATGGTTCACTAATCACACTGCACGCCCTATTTGGCGTTTGGGTATAATATTCGCGACTTGTTAAAAAAATATTAAATTTATTTCCTTTCTAATTTTACGTTGGTTTAAATAATGTAGTATACATGTATACGAGTAGTTATTTTACTCTATACTTCGCATAATAAACTTTGAATATTGTACCCAAACTAGAGTAGTTGGGTGCTATACATAACATATTAATTAAACGTTTGGTGATATCCGAATGTAGAGTTGGCGGTGGCTTGAATTCACAATTATTTCAATACGTTAAGCCGATTGAAAAAAGGTTTTTTGTTAATTTTGTACACGCAGTTATACCACAATATGCAAGCTACATATACATATCGAGATTTATTGTCTACTGAAAGTTGGTTTGTTTACACACCAACATGGTAAATAAAATAGTTATACAACACGCGTGTAAACCTTCATTTTTGCTATTTAAAAAATTATAAAAATTATCTTTCATATTTTTTAACTTGAATACACATTCATCCTTGTTTGTTGCACTGAAAAAATGCAAAAAAAATGTTTTCCTACAGGAAAAACTTTTTTTCATAATTTTCCCATTTTCATTTCAAGTTGCAATATAGCATATTTACGTACGTTGTTAGAAAATGCAGTGGCATTGGGAAGTTTTTTTTTACTTCGAATCACTAATTTTATAAGGTCATCCATCCACCTACTAAAATTATTTATTCTTGTAGAGTTATATTTCAATATTTTACATAATTATTATAACGTGTTCAGTACATGAGTATTTTACCATAGTAATTTTTTTTTAATTTTTGTTTTTACAAAGACCACCCAACCCCATTTTTCCATGGATCACGTGAAAATTTTAAAACCAATTAGTTTGTGTTTTTGAAAACTATTTAAATAATAGATACACGTCTGATATAATTGTGCCTTTACGGCTTTGATGTAGATACAAAAATCAACAAATGTTAAGGACTTGACTAAAATTCAATTCTTTATATATTAATATAATAATACTATCAACTATTCATTTTAAATTTCGAATAAAAATAAAAGTCTATTAGTAGAAAGTATGGTTGTATCTAATAATTAATAATCTAAGTATTATATTCCTGAAAACTTAGATGATTGCAGGTAGGTGTATTATATTTAATAATACTGGAAAACTAAAATTAAGTTATTTTAGTTACTTCCATATTAATCAAATTTTTTACTGGTCATCTAAACTTACCATGAGAACTTCAGTTTATGATAAGTAAATAAAAACACAATTTTAAATTTTCAGAGAGATTCAGTTATATCACGCAAAATGTTTGCGCGAGTTTATTAAAATGTACAATCCACATTTATTATTTTACAAAGTAAAATAGTCAATATCTTCGAAGAAACAGATTTTTTTTATTAAAAACCAAAACTTTTATGTTTAAGTTGTGTACACAATACATTTAGTAAACAAATAAATTAAAATATAAAAAAAATTTAACTTTTAAACCAGTGGATATAATACTAGCTTATATTGATATAATATATAGCTAGAATATAGAAACAGTGGATTTTAGTACGATAGTTAATTTTTTTTAAATCTCCGCACATCGAACTATTAACTAATCGAAAGAATAAAATATATTAGTGATATTGTTTTTAGTTTTAACAAGCTCCTGTTTTTTAAAACGAAATCATAAAAAAGGTATTGATTGTAGTTTTTAAATGCTCTTGTAGAAAAGTGTTTTTCATATACAGACGATGCGTTTAATGTGCCTATAAATTATACACAAAGTTATTACTTAAACTTAAACTCTTAAACTATAGACTATATAGAAGTATAGGTTATACAGTGTATAATATAATATATAATATATACGCCTGTATAACACCTAAGAGCATACATGTACAAAAAAAAATGAAATTTGTTCGTCAAATTATTAGTGGGATATAATTTAATACTAATAATAAAATATTTCGTAAATCAAATTTTCTAATCAAATTATAATAGAATAGTGAATATTTTAGGATTCACATCTAACATTAAAATTAATATGATCACATAATATTAGTTAATTACCAATAATTTGAATTGTTTTTATTAATATAACGTGTCCTTTGAATATAATTTTCTATTTAAAATCAGAAATCCTGTGCATTCAGTTAAGCCGCCTGTTTAAGGACATAATATGAATTCGTAATAAAAAAATTATTTGTGTGCGACGTATGTGTTTATAATATTATTGATGATTGGAACTGTGCTTCATTTCCGAACAGTTGGTTTTATTTACAGATAATTCTCTATATCTATATTATTTTAAGTGCTATTCATCTGGGAGCCAAATGGGGTTTGAACTTTTGTTATTATTATTATTATTATTACTGGCGGTAATAACTATAGGTATTTACTATAATAATATACGTGTAATTCTATTATTTGTTCCATTTGTTCTTCTCGTGACTATGCATTTTTATTATTATATGATGTATTAATGAACATGTGCTCTTGCATTTTTTTTTTTTAAATGATATACTTATTTCTACATTTTTTTAATTGATCCACTGTGACATTTTGGATAATAGGAGTAAAATAATAAAACATGGATAAAAACAATAATAAAAACTGTATATATCATACAGCACGCAATAGGTGAAAGTACTTTTTCTCAATCGCTAATCAAAAATTGAATACATTAATCGCAATAAATCTGTTTACTCTGTTTACTCATTTTCATTGAGTCACGTGGTATGTATTTTTTTGAAAAGTAAAAAAGTATTGCGTTCTCAAAAGTTTCAATTTCAATTAGTCATTTAAAAAACAACCTAAGTCAAACAATTGAAATTTTACACAAACGATAAATAACTTAATAACGTCAGACTTTAAATTTTTACTCTCACCTACTTAGTATTTACAAATATATTTGTAACTATATATAGTTCAATGTGTTTATGATATTTATTATTTATGGTTTTAAATAGTCTACCTACTTTGGCCTGTATAAAGAATATTTTTCAACCGACATGTTAGATAAACGCGTCTATTGCAAACTCGTTACAACGTTTCGTCGGATATCACATACGTTAAAAGTATAAACGAGTAAGAGAACCGTCTCCCTTATAGCGATTTGGTTTTCATAGTAAATTTGTATTAAAATTATAATAAAAAATTATAATGAATTTTGGGTAAATATTTTATTTAAAGCAGAATCAGTTGATACTATGATTTTATTATGTATCTATCTAATATGCCAATTGAATTGTTTTTAGGGGAACAATGCATTTTACTTGTTTTTGTTGTGTGTATATTACATACATGTTATATGTAGTTCATATACCTGTAGGTCAATACAACCATTTATATGGTATCTATATATACATTGTTTTTTCCTATATGTGGTGGATTTATGAAGTTCTTATTGCTATGGTAAATAGTATGGTGAAGAAAATATTTTTTTTTAAAGTGCTGTATGTTCTTCACTCATCTGAATGAACTATTGATCCTGGTTCTTTTTCTTGAACTATTTTTTGTGATAATAACATACCAATAAATCTGCATACAACACGTGTACCCAGTGGATACTCGACGAAATGACATCCGGTGGGATATTTTATAGACAACATCATTATATACTTTGAAAATTTTAAAACATGGAATCTATAAATAATTATTTGTGTGGTGGGCTGTATTAATAATGGAATCGAAGATATTCCTTATTTTGTCATTAATACGGTTTTATTTAATTATAATTTTACAAAGGAAAATAATCGCTTTATTACATTATGTTATCAAGTTACGCTTTTTTTTTTTCTATAAAAATCTCATGGTAGTTCGTATCAAAATTTGTTGTTCCGACCAGTAGCGAGGCGTGTAAATGTTCGTCGTTGAGTTGGTTCCGTGCCTAGATTTGATGTATTTAATTTTGGAAAAAGTCTGATCCCGCAGCGAACTATTCATATCGAAATAATTTCCTGTGAACGTTTTTTCAAAACGTTGAAAAAGCTTTTGAGATTGGTTTGAAAACCTAGGAGAGTTCGAAAACCAAATGCACACGTGTACGCAAGTACGGCGGAGTCGATACGCGCGGTGGGTCAGTGGCGAGTGTTCGGTGCGCGGATGGTCGGCGGCCAACGACAACCGGTTCAGTATTGGACGACGCACGCGCGTTCGCCGCACCGTCCGTGTGACGTCACGGCGATGCCGTGAAAGCGGTTCGTGCAACGCTCACGAACATTGTGCGGCCTACATCCGGTGATCCCGTTACCCGTGCCACTTAAATATATAGTCGTCGCCGCATACTTTGCAGTACGTGTTCCGAGCCGGCCCCAGTCAGTCGCATAGTTCCAACCGTCGAAATCGATAACGCCGCGTGAACGTGATTCGGTCTTGTCCCGTGTTCACGCGTACAACCGGCTAAGTGTTACAGTGCACCCGTAGACAAGCGAGCCGTGCAGCCGTTCGCGATCGCGACCGTGCGTTACGTATAGACCCCCGGGGGTACCGGTTCGCGATCATGGTCAAAGGGCCCGCCGCCGCTGCCACTGCCGGACAGGGTCACTCGGTCGGAGGAGGAGGCTCGCGGAGCAAGAACAACAAGAGCAAAGCGCTCACCTACCTGCTGTGGTTGGTGGGCGGCGTGTGCGGCTTGCACCACTTCTACCTGGGCAGAGACTTGCAGGGCGTGCTGTGGTGGTGCACGTTCGGCGGATACTTCGGGTTCGGGTGGCTCAGGGACGTGTTCTACATCGGCGAGTACGTGGCGGACGCCAACCGAGACGAAAAGTACATGAAGAAAGTGGACTACATGGTTCGAGTGCACGGAAAGGTGAGCACAACACGAAATTGATGCGCCCACGCGTGCCTGCACAGATGCTTCGGGCACAGGGGGGACGCGCAATTGTACGACACGGGGTGGATCCATGTGGGTTGTTTCTCCCCGACCGCGTTACGTGACCCCGTTAGGTCGGGTACAGGCGTGTCGGTCATGCGTGCGGGGGCGTTTCGAAGCTGAGAAATAATCTCGTTACATCGCGGGAGGCTGGAAAAAGTGTAAGGGGTTCGCGCGCTAGGTGCGTAAGTACGCCGTGTACGTGACCGAGGACGGTTGTCGGTCGTACGGAATGAAAGAGGAGATTCATTACGGTTTTATTTTTTCTCTCTCCATTTTTACGTCGTGAAAAAAAAAAATTGAAACTATACGTTACGCGTTTCGGCTTTCCGGTGGCGGCGGCGGTGGCGACGGCGATCCGTCTAAGGTGCGTTGACACATTTCTCTCGTTCGTCACCTATTGAAGGTGTCGGTGGCGATGGGTGCGATAATTTTTACGTATTGCTCAAAAGAACAATATATTTACTGAACAGCACCACGCACGCTCACCGCGATCTACAACGAACGATGTATTTAGGTCAACGTAACAAATATATGTATAATACTCGGTGTGTTTGACCGTATGGTAAATCCGTATACGATTACACGTAAACAAATCTCATTTTCGGACACCGTCCATGTGCCAGTCCCATGGGTTATTGATACCCAGCGGATCCGAGATGATCGAAACGAGGAAATATCGCTGAGATGGTTACGACACAACGTGTACGCGCATATAATAATACGTACAAGTTATTATTATTTTTTCTGTATGACGTGTACACGGCCTTGGAGTTTGTTTTCATTTTTCTCGCATATTCATAATAAACGAGCACTTACAAGTTCTTATTATGTTCGGCGGGGTGTTTCGAATTCCCCATGACTGTTGACTTCGTACTGCGTACTAGTACGAAAGTATGTCTAAATTAAAAAAAAAACGAAAAAATTGCCCACGTAGAAAACATTATCAAAATGATCTCGTCGATTCGTATTGTCGATGGTTTTCTTTTGTTTTTTTTTTTTTTACTGTCTTAATAACGTACAGAAAAATGTATGCGATCATTTTTAAACAGAATATAACATTATATAAACCTTGTACATGGACCACAGTTGATTTATAGATTAATAATATTTTATGTGATTTCTTAATAATACGTTTACTTATAACTCTTAAAAGTTTAAGCTACACGATGATATTTGAATTACTTTAAGCACTGTCGCGTTATTATGATCTATAGTGAATTTCGAGAAGTCGTCATGAACTCCAAGTTCTTGAAAGATTGTATTGTGACTTGCGTAATAGTAATAAACACTCAAATCTCGGGAATAAGCTTTTTTCGAAGCTTTAATTTATTTATAACATTTTTAAAACGAAAAAGAAACCGTACGAAAAGATAAATATATCACCTATTATAAGTACACTTCAATATCAATGAATATTAATGGGTTCCTTTGATTGTTCATTCACTAAGCACAGATACAATCAAAATTGTACTGCCGGAGAAACCTTTTCTTTTTATCTTAATTCGTTTTTTAAATAGGTCTCAATAATTTCATTATTTTCTCCTATGAACACCGAGCTTACAAATCATTAAATTAACATTTAATTTATTATCAATATATAGATAACTCTAAACAACAACTTTATTTTCTTATTTATCCTTTTAAAAATTTAAAAATTCAAAGAAGTACTACATTTTTAAAGTAAAATTGAATTACAAATGTTTACAATGTGTAACCTACTTAAAAATAATAATATTCATGGTTTACTAGGAACCGTTACTGACACTGTTGTCTGTTATGATAATATAATGAAAAAAAAACTTTTTTGCTAAAATTAAGCAATTCTAATTATTTGTACACTACATTGTAAAATGATGTAAATGTATTTTGATTATCAGTAAGAACTAATGGCAATTGATCATAAACAATCAAAAATGAATGAAACAGTCATAAGACTTAAATATTAAAAAATTATAAGTATTAAGTCGGCCGAAAGATAGCTTATCAAAATAATTGTTAATAGGCACATCAAAATAATTATATCGATACAGTATGATATACCCATAGACCTTGTACATTATAGGCCTTAGTATAAGGTCTATGGATATATCTTATTAAATTACAAAATACGTTTGTAATTCAATTTTTTCACATAAGGTTAATCCAATACATATTGTGTATACAACATCATATTGCTGTATTCGCGTGTAGGTTATGGTTTTGTATTACTTTTCGATAAGAACAGTTGATTAGGAATTTGACCTTGACAGTGAGTCAGTCCAATATACGTGTATACAGACAAGCGTAGGTTAATCACCTCACCGTAGAATATTATAACGTTTGTCAAACACCAGTTCTTCCATCCAATCATTTTATATATTATTATTATTACTATTGATACGGTTCTTTCCGTTAAACCAATTGGAATAACTGAACCATGTTAATGTGTGAACCAATGACAACTTATATTATTTCGTATGCAAGTGGCATATTATTGAATATAAAGTATGATAGTTGACGCAATATTGGTATAGCTATATATTTACTAAATGTATTAATATACGCCATTAGTTTTAATAATTATGTTCATAAACCATATCAATATCATACACACATATTAAATAATTATAGTATTACTTAATTGACAGAAAAATTCTTTTTTATCCGTAAATTATATTTTAAGAAAAATGATCAATTTTAATCAACGTATACTAAATGTGAACTTCGCTGTACAATTGATCGATTAATTGAATAATCAAGTATTTACAATAGAAAAATTACCAGAATCAAATATTGTACAAAACAGTTCTGTACTGCATACTCGTATTTTTATATTCTGGAATACATTTTAACTGATTGTACATTTTGTCTATAGAAAATGACTTCTAGTTAATTTTCTTTACTGCGAGCACAATATTAACCGCCATTCCAATACAATTTGAAAGCGAAAGATCATTTTTATCTTCCTTCCACAACTAGGTCATTGACCAACTTGTCAACGAAACGTTCTACGCACACAATTCGCTAGGCCGACCATTGATATTCGATCTCGTCGGCATGTTGCGGTTTTTGATCACTCATTTTTTTTTCGTTCGGACCATTTGGCCCGTGCAGCATCTTTTACACTACACATGACTGTTAAGATGTCTCTTTAATGCATTTGAATTGCAAAGGAACATTTTTTATTACGAATCATTTAAATCAAATAGCATAGCTTATTTTATATTAATGTTACAAAAAAATTGAAAAACCCTGGTTATCATCATATGCCTGGCGTACCTCACACATTCACCCCGACATCGTTTGCTCGCATTAAATCCACGGTTTTGATGTACCGTCAAATGATGTACCGTCGGAAGTACCGTCGAATAGTCTCAAATGTACTGTATACTAAAAGAAAGTCGCACAAGTGACCCTCGACTCGACGGGGTCTACGAACGGATGGGGACAAAGTGCCAAATAATTTTCATTTTTATTTCTTTATTTTTTTTATCAAGTTGTTTAAAAATAAAAAAAATTGTACTCGAAGACATACTCTGTTTTCAGTTAATCACACCAAAATATTTTCACGGAAAGTCATTTTATAATGTTTACAAGCTGCACACATTTTCCCCAACATTATTAAAACTGTTCATCATCTTCATATTTTCCATTGTAGGATATGACCATAACGAAAAGCAAACTTACTCTCATATTTCTCTTTATCCAATGCCAATTCTCTACGACGAGCGTAATACTTAAAAAGTTTTTTTGACCTATAGTAATAAATTACATTTTCCATGCCGTTACGCAATAGCTATCTCCGTGTAAATAAATAACTAAATATTATATATTTATACGTTTATTCATCATCTAATCAATATTTGTAACATGAATATTAATATAATATTATTTCATTTGTTTTTTATATAAGAAGGGTATTTTCTTAAAAATGTATCTTTAATTTCAGATAACAACTGTTTAAATAGTATACGTGTACTATGTACACTTTAATTGCATTTTTATTTACAGTTGTTTTTTTTTTTCAAAATGAGAAACTCATTATGGAACCAATATTTTAATGAGAATATTCAAATGTGTGCCTGTCAAAATTAAATAAAATATGTCATTTATTAATGAGTAATCATACATATAATGCTACAATCTAATAACATTTGACATAACGATTTGTCTTAGTTTAATAGTACGTCTATTTTTTTTTACAATGAAACACACGATTGATTTATATTTTGAAAAAGTAAACATAACATTTATATGTATTTTTAAACAAGCAAAGAAATTTGAAGTTATAAAATATTTTCAATAATTTTGTCTGTGACAGTCGCCAAATGTATAATTTAGTATTTTATTATAACTTTTTTAAATGAGTTAAAACAATTTTAAATGTTGTCTTATAGATTTTAATTATTATTCAACTACACGATTTATTTAATAAGTGTATAGGTTAAACAACACAAAATGTTAACTTATGTTAATTGACTGTCAACAATCATTATGGAATTGTTTTTTATACACTTTATATTAAATACTACAAAGTATATTTTATATATATATTTATATATATATATGTATTTATTTGTAATATTGAGATTTAAAAAACCGTTCAAAGTATTACGTTTCATACTCGTATATATTTTATTTTCTTATATTTAATGTTTTATTTAATCTTTCATTTTAAGAAAACGATTATTTTGTAATCGTTTGTGTTCGCATTTGTAATATGATTTCAAATTATTCGTATATTATAATTAAATTTAGTACAGTGCAATATTTGTAGATCATTATATTTTGGTTTTACTAAATACTAAAATTACAAGTGTATAACATTTGTAACTTATTTATTGTAATTTATTATAATTATTTTTTAAGTTTTATAGTCATTAGTTGTATTAAATGTTAACTATTAAACTTTATACAAAGTATAAAACACTAAAATTATATAAAAGATATTACATTTAAATTTTTTTTTCTTAGAATGTTATTGCTAAAAATATTACAGATAAAAAATAGTTTTATGGGTTATAAGTTAATATAATAAATAGATTTCGAATACAATTATTTTAATTATAACATTTTTAACGTAAAAATCAGTAATGTTATTTGTTTTATATTTAGAAAAGAATTTAGAATCATTTCTCACCATAATAACACTAATTACAAAAAGCTAATACGTGTATTATAAATATATATAAATGTATATAAAATGTATTTCTCAACTCGGGAGTGTGCGAATTAAATTATGCAACTATAAATATAATAATAAATGAAATCTGACTGAATACAGTACTTAGCAGTAATTTTTAATGTTTTATCCATTTTCTTCTTGTATTTATAAACAGTCCGAAGACTTTAGCGGTAAACTTTGTAAAATAAATCAAACGCTTTAGAACAAATATAAGTACTGCATTTTCTCAATTTATTAATCAAATATTACAAATCAAATTTTCTTCATAATAGAAAATTATAACTTCAAGTTTAAATGTTAGTAAGTTATAAAATACTGATATTTTATTCTTTTACTCATAAAAGGAATAAGCGCGTTTAATTAACCACACTGCCCCTTATTTATTAACCGCACACAAATAATTATGACTGTATTATAGATAATGTAGATTATTATTGAGCCGACTTAATAATAAATAAAAATCAACGCTAATTTCGTATCTCCACTATGAATTAATAGCCATTAATTATTAATTAACATGTTTCAGCCGCCGTTTTCTACGATTAGGTTCACTGGCATGGTCGTGGTGGCCTATCTTTTCAGTACTGTTGTATCCCTTGCAATACCTGAAGATAACGTCGGAGGACTTAGCTGGCAATGGTTACACGTATTTACCCCTCTGGCCGCAGCTTTGGGTGAGTAACTCGAATATAGTCTTTTGTACTTAATTTATGTTATATCATTAATAACGAAGTATTCAGCATAAAGACGATTTTGATTTTATAGCATTTATTTTGATCGATAAATAGTAATCTCGTATCATGTATTGGTCTTTATACATAATGTACAATATATTTAAATTTTCAAAACTGATGCATAAATGACGTAATTTGTTTTACCGTTTTTGTTAAAAAAAAAAAACGAATTTGTATTTTTTAGGTGTTTGGGCTGTTGGAAATATTGGTCATGAAACAGGATCTCTAAAATGGCCAATCATATCTGCATACTTAGTCCCCATGATTGGCAATCCATTGAAATCATTTATTTTTGATAAATTTGGTTTCGACATCGACGAGTCTACATCATTTGCCATAATGATATTAGCAGCAGCATGGTCATTCGATCATTTTGAAAAACGATGGAAACCGATAAACCGAAAAACTCCAGGAATTTTGAAGTAAGGAATTGTAAAGAAATTAAAAGAAATACATTGTGAAAGTTCTGAATCGTGTATAGTTTCGTAAAAAATAAAAATCCTGATTAAGAATTTTTAAGCCACAGGGAAACTTATGTTTTTTTTTAAATAATAAAAACAATAAAAACAAATTTAAAATTAACATTATCATTTTCAGATTATATTATAATTTTCATAAAGTACTGTGAATTTTTTTTTTTTTTATTTTAAATTTAGCGAAATAATCTGCTATTTTTAATTAATCGTCTTATTCAATTTCTAGGCGGATTTTGATAATCAGCATGTGCTGTCTACTATACATAGCCCTGTGGAGCAGTTATTTATATTTTAACGCCAAAGTCACCGATGAAGATGGCGATGAAGTTCCGTTCCACGAAGCATTAGGTCACTTCTTCAATTCACCGTGGTGGTTGGACGTGAAACAATCATTTATCGACGTTTGGCAATTTGCCCAAGTACACGGTTGGATGGAAACATGGCGGCAAATAGTTTCGTTATCTGATCCTTCTGGTGAACAGAATGCTTTTAAGGTCAGATTAATAATTTGATAAATAATTTCTCAAATAATGTATCACATCGCTGTAAACACGATTAAAAGAAAATAATCTTCAGATCTTATAAAATAAATACTAAGGTTGCGATCACAGTGGCACTGACGTTGAATGATATAACTGCCGGCCATAGGTGGACATCAGGGGGGCTTAGCCCCCAAAAATCGAAACTTTGTTAGAAATGTTATTCGTTGTTTTTATAATTATCTATTGGTTTTTTTTTGAAAATCGTGAAATAAGAAATAATAAAAAACTATTTACAATAGCATTAACAATACCAATTAGTTCGGCTAATTGCGAAAGAAGTTTCAGTGCAATGAAAAAAATAAAAACTTGGCTAAGGTTCAGCGATCTTTCAATACTATATGTATATTGAAAATGATATATCGAAAAATATAAAAAGCGATGATATTTTTAATATCTTTGTTGATACAAATAGATATTTGTCATTAAAAAAAAAATATTAATTATTTTTAAATATAGGTTATTTGGTATTTTTTTTAATACAATTTAAACATATCTATATTTTTAATAGTAGTAAGTTTAGTAGCAATATATTAAGTATAACTTGTGCACGAGGAGGGGGTGTGGGGGCGAAGGCCCTGAGAGTTATTTTAAATTGAATTATTATTGCTCCCCCAAAAATTCAACCAAATGTCCATCTATGCTGACGGCCAACGTTGGTCAAACTTACCCGATAATTTTAAACAATGCAAAAAATATACAAGTGGTTTCAATACTTCCGACCGCGTCGGTCGATTACACCGACGTCGGTCATCTATCGGGTAAATTTCAGTATAATTAGTTTTTATCGGCCGATTCACTAAACGACTTTTTCATTATGGATTGCGAGCAACTTATATGTTTAGTTGAACAAAGAAGACATTTCTAGAACCATAGGAATGCTGGTTTTTGATTTTATCTTTTACATTGTTCAATATATATAGTAACAAATCGGTGTAGTTATTCTTATGTACATGAATAAATTATCATCTTGTTCTAAGAGTTAGTGAAGTTATGCACGAAATTCTCCATTATTTTCCCTGTTCAAAAAAATGTCATTTGTGTTACATCATCCCTTTTTTAACAGTTAATATTTAAATGCGGGATTTGTTTTTAAATACAAAAACGATAAAACATCCATTTTATAAATTACACTCATTGAATAACTTACGAAGCTGTGAACACCCCTATTGGCCGATGTCTGTGCAAAAATATTGTTACGATATGATATTTTTGATTAAAATAGTAACTCAATCGACTGGGAACGTTATCTAAGAATAATGAGATAAAAAATTAGCATAATATTTTTGTATAATATCTTTATTTTTCTTTATGATCAAATGCGTAAACGTGCGTGCGCACGCTCTACTCTTCGAACAAAGTGCTAAATATTTAGCAGCCCTTTAATAGTTAATAGGTTTTTAATTATAACCTAAGTTTATACGAAACGCTAAAGTATATTATATACACAAAAAAAATCACGGAAAATAACAAATCAACCTCACAAGCACCTTATAGTTTTTAATCGTTTACAATGCGAATAAAGTGTATATTTATTCGTATAGACTATATTATTATGTGAATTGCTTAAATAAATGAAACGTACCTTATGAGATATTATTCGTTTTTTGTTATAATCATTTATTTCATTGTACCAATCGCTCACATCAATTAAAATATGGACTTTGAACAAAAAGTTTACATAAAGTATGGACACATTTGTTTTAATGATTCAGTTTTGAAGTATTGTTCTTTGATATTTAAGTATCACATTGTTATTTTTGTGTTTATTCATGGTTAACTTTTGTATGTAAGGACTAGGTTGTATGACATTTTGTACAAAAATGGGATCTGCATAAATTATAACCAAAACTAATAATGTTATTCCACACTTCTGAGGGACCACTGTTTTAGGTTTAGCACCTGTTATTTATTCAATACTGACATTTACTAATTATTATTGTTTTGAAAAATTCCATTGTTTAAACGACCTAGTAAAACATAATCTGTAAGGTTAAGTTTTTTTTTACCTTTGAGTGAACTTTGTAAATCACCATTATACATTTTTGTTTTTTAATAAAATCCACAAAATATTTCTATCCGTCCGCTGTGTAACTACAAATTTAATATACAAGAACCTAAAACTTATCATTTTGGTATTTAATTTTTGTACAATCAAAATAACCTGTTCAATGTGCTGTTAATAATTTATTATTTATCGGATCTTTGCTACACCTACTTAATAGCAACCTGCACGAGGACATTTGACTATCAACATAACTTTTCTAGGAGTTTTAATTAATTTGCTTATCTAATGCGATATAATGTGTCATACGTATTTTGGAAATGGAAACTTTTTAATGTGTTTTCTTTATTGTTCGATACTATTTGACACGCTATCGATAACGTATACAATACTACCCTATACGCATAACATACGTATAAAATAAAAATAGCAACTTTATACAACTATCACTTGAATATTTTGAGTACACACTTATTCTTGAGGTTGATTTAACTCTGTTATTAATACCATTTTTATTTTATTTTCATTAATCCTACAGTATTTTCTTTTAAGCATTACATTTAACAAAAATAAATAAAAAATAAAAAAATATATATAAAAATTAAAAAAATGTACACTTATATTATTATGTACAATAAAAAATATGTAAATATTTTATAACCTAATTTTAGAAATATTTTAAACGTAAAAGATTTTATAAAATTTTAGAATGTTAGCTAAGTCTTATAATTAATGTTTACTATTTTATAATGTACAATTATAAAAATGATAAATTTGATCTAATTTTTAAGGTATTGGAATTGAGATCGGGAGCTACACAGATGGAAATTAAAAATCAATGTCGAACATTAGCTGTTAAGTATCATCCAGACAAAGCTAAAGACGATGAAACAAAGAGGGAAGTACAAAATCGATTCTTCGAAGTTCAGCAAGCATGTGAGCTGTTATCAAATAGCAGAGCTAAAAGACGGAGGAGAAATAAACGGTTCAACGAAGAGCTTTAAATTGAAAAATTATTTTTTTGCTGTACAAATATACGAGGTGTGTAAATAAAGTAATGAGATTAATTTTTTATAATTTTTTTATTGAATTAAAGTAACTATTTTATATTATCTCCTTCAAAGTAATTGCCCTGAGAATTCACACAGCGCTGGAGTCGATGTTTCCATTGTTCGTAGCAGTTCTAGAACTCAGTTATTGGAATAGCTTTCAGTTGGTCGGTCACAGACATTTTAATATTTTCTAGTGTCCCAAAATGTTGTCCTTTAAGGTGAATTTTTATTCTTGGAAACAGAAAAAAGTCACAAAGACTCAAGTCAGATGAATAGGGGGGTTGAGGGGCCATGGGAATATTTTTGGTTGCCAAAAATTGGTTAATTGAAATGGCTGTGTGACAAGGTGCATTGTCGTGATGCAGCACCCAGGTGTTTTTGATGTTTGGTCTCACCCAAATGACCCTTTTTCGAAGTCTTTCGAGAACTTCTTTATAAAAGTGTTGGTTGACTGTTTGGCCTTGAGGTACAAACTCCTTGTGAACTATTCCTTGGCTATCAAAGAAGCAAATTAGCATCGTTCTGATTTTTGACTTGCTCATTCTTTCTTTTTTTTGTCTCGGTGAAGCTGCTGTGTGCCATTCTTGGCTCTGGCGCTGTGTTTCTGGGTCGTACTCGAAAATCCAAGACTCGTCTCCAGTAATGATACCTTCTAAGAAAGAATGATAATTTTCAATCTGCTCCAAGAAATCAAGACACCTGTCCCTCCTGTTGTCCTTTTGGTCTTGTGACAAAATTTTCGGAACCATTTTTGTTCAGATTTTTCTCATTTCCAAATCAATGGTCAAAATTTGATGAACAGTGGTGTGAAATAATCCCAACTGTTCTCCAATTATTCTGACCGTCAATCGACGATCAAATCGGACAAGTTCTCGAACTCTGATGTCGTTTTCATCATTTTTTGCAGTTGAAGGTCTTCCACTGCGAGGTTCATCTTCAATCAACTCTCTGCCTTCTGAAAATACTTTAAACCACCTAAAAACCTGTGCTCTTGAAAGAAAACTTTCTCCATAAGCTTGTTTAAGCTTTTGAAAAGTTTCTGTCGCACTGTGACCAAGTTTAAGACAAAATCGGATAGCACATCGTTGCTCAAAATTGTTGTCACCCATTATTAGAACGTACTAAAAAAAACTGGTTTACGAATATAATCACCACAGACCAACACGTGACACTACGAAGTTCAAACTCGTACTGAAGGTTCATTACATGATGATTATCTACAAACATTTTCAATCGGAAAGTCATTAGTGCTTCCAGATAACTAGCTACGCTATCAATCTCATTACTTTATTTACACACCTCGTATATTAAAAAACCATAATTATTTATAAGTGTGCTGTGATAAAACTAAAATGTTTATGATATCAGCATTATGAAAAGTATTTTTCAAAAATATCAACGGTGAAAGCATTAGATCATCCATATGTGATGGTAAATATATAAATTCAAATTACATTTTAATTTGGATGTTAATTTATGTTACGAGATGACACATTTACGTTTAATGCCTTCATCGAACTTTTAATTTTTTAATTTTAGTAACATTCATTATTATAATTTATAATTCTATATTTTACCGTAGTCTGAAAAAAAATACTACAGTTGCACATTTATATTATAAACGCTCATTATTTATACATTTCTTTTTTAGATTGTACTAATTACAAATTTTGTATTTTATAACCTTAATTATGTTTTTATCGTTTGACCAATTTGTAATATTTTCGAGTTTTTAGCGTGTCTCGAAGTTCCTATATGTAAAACAATTATGTTTAGGATGATGATTTTGATGGATATTTATTATTTAATATGCATTATTCTAAAACTTACGAGTTTTGATTATTATTTGTTTTAAATAAAATAATTTTAATATTCATTTTTACTGAGTGTAATTTATCTGAATGCCAATCAATGTTGTTGAATTTTATCGAAAGATATTTTTGTGTGAATATTGGTTACCTATATTTTGTTGACATTTTTATTATTAATTTTTATTAATTATTATTGCATTGGAGGAATTGGGGAACAGCTATTTTTAGAATTGAAACAAAATCTGTAGCTGGTATTGTTGATTTATGTTTTAATATTTTATTTATTTGGTTACTGCGCAGAGTTAATGGAAAATTGCAGGCCACAACACATTTGCGCTCATTTACCTTTTTGCAACTTGTTTGGACAAAAAATACGACTCGATTGCGCACTTACGAATACATTTTAGGTACCTGTAACGAAAATCCCTAAAAAAAATATCATTTGCACAGATATTCGGTTGATACTGGTCATACGTATGCTATAAATGTCGAATCGCGCCTAAATACTAAGTTATAATAAAGCATAGCCGTAATTATTATTATTATTATTATTAAATAATTATAAATTTGTATGATATAATTTACTTCCATTTTCTTCTTTTTATTTTTTTATTCTTCCTTATGTACCGTTTCTTTTATAATTCATTACATTATTTTATTTGTCGATAAATTATTTAAGTATATATATATGTGTGTGTGTGTGTGTGTGTTGTTTTACGCAAGAGTTATCCGTTTTCATGTTACCGACGGTTTTCGTTGTCACAAGTGAGTCATCGATTTTCAAGTAAAAAATTTGAATGTGTGCAAACGAATTGCTGCCAAATTGCGGATAGCTCGTCGTTGTTCTAATCTGGTAATAATAGTATAAAATAGATGAATGTTATGTGAAAATGAGTGAAATACAATACAAAACAATATCACGGCACAAAGTAAGTTTTTATGATATGGTTTATTGACATATTCATACAATTAAAATAATTAAAATAACATCGATGAAAAAATAATTAGCATAAATGGTTATAATATATTATTTAAATTTTAAACCCTTAATAAACAATATATAAGAGAGCACCTTAATTATTGAGAAATGTAATATTTAAACATTAAAAATTAGATGTTTTTTATACAATCAATCAATTTAAACATCATATAATATTCCATTCGCCATCCATAAGCGGACAAGTTTTGAGAAATTTAATTTTAATAACAATAAATAGTTAAATTAAACAAATCTACTAATATTTACTACTTGGTTACCCATCGACATTAACATTTTGTAAATTATGATGTAGAAAACTATATACTATTCCTATAATACGTTTTACAGGAGTAGTTATAAATTATCTTAAACGCGATAATGTAAGGTTCTAAAATGGATTAATGAGAAATAATCAACGTATCCAAACATGACATAAAATTCGGGGATATTAATTAACTCGGGATATCGCCACGGCGGCCGTTTCAACGTTCTTCATGTCGAGTTAATTATCCTATTAATCGCAGAATAACCGGAATACGAGGAAGTATTTAAGTTGTAGTAATACATAATTATATTGCTACATAGCTGTACGAATATATGTAATGGCCATAATAATAAAGACAAAAATATAAAACACGTCAAGTGTAAAAAAAAAAGAAGAATTTCGTTACCATTTTTGACGAATTATGTTTTATAATGATTGGCGAAATTGAACTCATTGATAATCCAGTAAAGATTTTATAAAACACAAAGTTACAATACAATTTGGGTTAATTACTTTTTTAACAATTTATGTCTATAAAATATAATATGTATGTTTAGGTGTAGGTATTCAATATAATAAGACAGCCTTCATCTTCAGCTGGTGCAAACCTTTACTTTTCTCTCAGGGAGTAGGTGACCCCTGTATACTTATTCTTTGATATTAACAATGGGCATATATTGCCTAAATTAAAATTTTATATTATGAACTTAAATAAGTAATAAGAATATTATATAATTGGGTTATAACTTATATGCATACCAACATCAAGTACATTTTACATAAATTACGTAAAACGTGACTAGTATCATTGATTATAGATTATAATTTAATTATTTATTCCATATCCAATATTCTTATAAAATGCAGATAATACACAGATATACTTATGACTATGTCCGGCTTGTGATAATAATACGATTAATTAAATCTTGACTACTAACTCACTTTCGTGGGCAGTCTTAGAAAAGCTATTGATATTCATATTTTATTAGGAAAACTTTTTTATGAAGGTAATAATTAAAAACTGTCAATATAACTATCATTAAACTCGTATTTTAAAAATATAACGTAAACACATTGAAGTATTCTCTTTTTTCCTGGGCGTGTACAGTTTGGGATGAGAAGCCTTTTAGAAGTGAATTTAATCGTATATGGACAAAAGGTACTCCGTGACATATTCCAACACAGTATTTTTAGTTGTACAGAAAGGGGTGAAATCCGGAACGCCCCTCATAAACACGCTACTATACATACGAATGATACAGAACACCGCCTAAGGAAATAAATACAATTCGATTGTTCGTTAATAAAAGATAATGCTTTTGTTATGTATCTACATAGAATTACCTGGTATTTTGATATTACAATTTAAAACTTTAATATCTAAGGCGTCCATTATTATCGGAGCTATCTATTTTATCCGTCTACGATTAGTAATAATTATTTAAGAATTAAATACCGTTATAATTGATTCAGTGACATTAATATTGTATACGAATTTTATTATTATATGAAATATATCAAATTACAGTTATCTACTGCTTATTTACAATCAATTATTTCTATTATTTAGGTTTGTAAGTCGCATCGATTGAAAATAAATAGCGATCTATAAAAACAAACATATTTTATTTATTTATTTTAAAATAAGTGAAAATGCATTTTCCTGACCTCACGTACAAATTTACGAGTATTTGAGGAATTAAAAACCCATAACGAGCATAAGCTGTGCAGTTTACCCTAAGATAGTGAAGTTTATTTATTATGTACTTAGAATACAGCTTTATATTAACCTGAATTCAATTATACCCACCTAAGTCTTTAAACCGAAAATATTAATGATAAATTAAAAAATGACATCACAGGTATAGCTTAAAGTTGGCTTTTGTGAACATCAAGTAACTGACTTAAGCAGTTGGTACACTGTTGTATATTTTACATGACATTATAACTCGAATAAAAAGGTCAACGTGTAAGTGATATTGGGTTCTTTTTATTCATTCACAATAATGTGAATATATTTCAGAATAAACGAGTAACAAGAAATTTAAATGGGCATATGAAAGGGCTGTTTTTGAAATCTGATATGGAAAATTTACTTACATTTTACAGCGATTTAATGTACTTTTCGATCTGCCCGTAAAATTTTTACGGTTAGCAAAAAACTAGACAAGTCAGCAATTTTCAGCATTCCGTATTAATTTTATAGTATTTCGTAAATAGGTATAGCAGTTCTTTAGCATATCATATCGAGTATTGCTAACTTTATTTTGATTTAAGAATCGTTTTACCTTTTGGAATTTTTTTAAAAAAAAAAAAAACTTTTTGTTTTTTTCTCATGCCACGAACGGTATTATTTTATAAGAATACAAAATAAAATAAAATCATTTTAAATTTCTCGATTTATATATAGGAAATTAAGTATAATATATGAGTGAGTGTTATTCTATTTAAGATTTCTATACTATCAGGTATGACCTATACCAGGGGTGGCGAATCTATGGCACGCATGCCAAAAATGAGAGAAGTTGGTCAAATTTCAATAACACACCAAATTAAATTAAATTTTAAAAATTGATAAAATATTTATCTTAAATAAAAATGAATTATACTTTAAAACTTTAGTATAAGAAATATAAAGAATTAATTTTATAAGTCTGTTATAATAGGTAAGAAAATGTCTTTGAAAATATTTTAATAAATAATATTTATGATTATTGTACTCAATCACTACGATAGAAGTACATAGTACCTACATTTCGAATACAAAATGTATTTTAAATTTACTAATATCGGTTTCCTGCAATAATAACAGAAACACAATAGCTATTCGTTTAAACGTACCTACAATTTAGTTACCCTTCGTCAACTATCGTGATTATTTATTGCTCCATAATACGAGTATTATATAAAAAAAACCACTTAAAAAAAAAAATAAAATGTTCTGGAGAACCGACGAATCGAGACTTCCAAGAATTGTGAACATCTAAATAGGGTATGATATTCAAGAATAATAAAGCATTATGCGTACTGTGTTCAAAAAGTGTTGTATGTCGAACTTCTATCATACATCATTTTGAAACTATTCATAAAAACTGTTAACATAAATCTGCCAATGAACAAAAGTGTTTTATTTTACGTGCATTATCAAATAAAAATTCTAAAAGTGGTAAATTAATTAAATTTGTTAAAAAATCTGATAATTTAGTTAGTGTCTGCCAATTTTGATGTCGCTAAGTTTATTGCTGTTCGTGGAAAACCTTTTAGTGTAGGTGATTTTATTCAAATGTCTACGTTAGATTGCGCTGATAACCTTTTTCGCGATTTCGATAGTAAGGATACAATTATACAGCGTATTAAAGACTTGTCAATCAGTAGAAGTACTATTAAAGAGAGAATACTAAGTATGAATTATAATATTAAAAAATCAAATAATACATAATTTAAATCAAAGTTCATTTATTTCCATTTGCATCGATGAAAATACAGATATATATCGTCTATGCGTCTTTATATAATATCTTGATTCTGTAATAATGATGCATGTAGTGAAGAGTTTATAAAATTAGAATCTAAACCAGCTAAAACTATCAGTGAAAATGCTAATGAAGTTGTTGTAATAAATATCCATGAAGATATTGAATTAAATTTATCTAAAATTGTAACGTTACCGATTGCACCCCATATATATTGGAAAATAGCGTAGTATCGTTAAATTCAAAAGTTAAAATTTTAAAGAAAATTGTGCTATGTACAGACTAATGCAGTATGAAAATATTTTAAAGTTTGTAACAAAAATTGTAAGCTTTATAAACGTCCGAGCATTAAATAAAATGCAATTATTAGAAGATGTAAATTCTCCTCATAACGAATTTGTGATGTACAATAATATTCATTGACTTAGTAGAGGTCATATTTTAGAACGATTTGTAGAATCTTCACAAAATTATTATTTTCAAAATTTAAAATTGAAATGATCAAAAATCAATTATTTTTAAAATAAAATAATTATACTGAATTGACAAATTTAAATTGGCCGTGCAATATGTTTTTTAATAATTTTTGTTTACATTTAAGTTAATTAAATTTAAAAAAATTACAAGGTAGTGGAAAAAACATAGATTTCATGTTTAGTTTAATAAAAAGTTTTGAAATAAAATTAAATATATTTATACGTGATATAGAAAGTCATAAATTTAAATATTTTTAACGTTTAAACAAATTTCTGAGTGAAATTTAAATCCACGAGACTCCTAAATTAGATGTAAAAATAAATAATTGTTTAAGTATTGTAAAGGAAATAATTCAGTAGTTCAAAAACAGATTTACAGATTTTAAAAAGTTTTTATGTAATTTTAATTTTTTAAAATACCCTGATTACTTGCAATTTCGATAATTTAGTTTTACATTATTTTGAATGAATTAATATAGAAATTTGAATTTGAGTTAATTGATCCTCAATCAACACGTGAAAATAAATAATTTATTGACTTCAGACAACTAATCGAAGAAATAGAAATCAGCCGTCTTTAAGAAAACATGGTAAAAATGTAGATAATGAAATTTTTAAAGTGTAGAATTCGCTTCCAAATATATTTAATACATTAAAAGAATCGTTTGAATTTATCCTATCAATTTTTTCGTCAACTTACACTTGTGAAAATTTATTCTCCTTAGTGGATTTAATAAAAACAAAGCAAAAAAATACGTTGATCGATGAAATTTAAAACTAAGTTATTTAAAATTAATGCCGCTTTTGTTTCACTGAAAATTACCAACTCTTTTTCAGATATTAAAATATTATTTTTTAAAAAACAACAACATAAATCACATTAAAAATAAATTATTTTAACTAAATAATAACTAATAGTAAAATAATATTTAATGTCTCATGATAATCTAAAAATATATTTTACGAAATAAAAGTTAACAAATAAACGTATACCTAATAAATGTGTACAATTATTGTATGCTTTTTCTTTAATTTTACTTAGTAAAAAGTCATTATTATTTTTTGGCACGCGAGCATATTTAAAAAAATTTCACTTCAAATTTTGGCAGTTGATCCGAAAAAGGTTCGCCATCCCTGTCCTATACCTATATCTAATGTATCCATATACAGCTTGTAATATTAAATGCTTTTGGAACATATTCGATAAATAATAGCACCTTATACGTGAAGGTCACGAGATAATAAACCATCTCGAGGTGAAAATAAATGACTGTAGATTTAATACGATCATCTGAAATAAACCACAAATAAATGAAAAAATGTTGTGCAAGAGCCATATGAATGGCGTCTATTGTTTTACTATAAACATATTAACAGAAATGTTGAAGTTGTTCATTCTGGGTTGACTATAATTAATATTCATCCGCTAAGACGTTGCCGCCAAATATATTTGTGTTTTGATATAATTTTATGATAAATTACTTAAAATAATTTTGGGTTGACAAATTATTCCATAACGATATTACTGAATTATTTAATCCATCTCAATATATCTTATGCATGCACTGAGTGTATTGTAGACGGAAAGTTGAACTAATTAACGCTAATAAGTATAGTAAAATTTGTTTAGAAGTAGGTAATTATTTCTTAGAATTTTTCTGTAAAGGCATATCAAATCTTAGCACTTTTAAGTTAGAAGTACATTAAAAATACATACAAAACTATACAAATGCCATTTGAAGCTTTTTGAAGTTAACCTTATCAAAAAATGTAATATATCAGTAGTATAACAAGGTAAACGATAGATAGTTATTACATATCTCTCGTAAAGGCTGTCCCACAATACTTCCAAATAATCACAAGTGCAGATACGAGTGACTATTCCGATTAATTGTACGATCTTCGAATTGACCTCCCACACTAATCGGAAGTAGAGCCTAGTACGAGGTACTACAAATATTGACAAAGTTTGACGATTATCGAAACATGTGTTCATCGGTTTACTATCTGATTATTTTCAATTATTTTTGATTATTGTGTATGAATTATCCCGATTACGTACGAATGCAATTCGGCTGGCTTTGACTCGGAACAATTTACCGTCTTCTGGGCGATCAACTACGAGTGCCATCGCTAATGCATAATTATAGCAAGTGTACATCCCCACATTACTCACAAGAGATAATGATTAATTTAGTTGTGAATTAATCGTATATACTTGCGAGTAGTGTGGGACCGGCGTTGGAAGTAGCATTACATTTTTTGAGTTATACATTCCATTCATATAAAGCTGGGATTTAATATTTATAGCGTATATATTTTTGACGAAACTATTTAGGTTTATTGTAAGCTGTAATTAGGTAACTAATTAAAGCATTAACTAGAGGCGAGTGCAAAGGCTAAAAAACAATTTCTTAGCTCTTGACATTTTTAACACCAACGGAGGATGAACGTTTGCCATCTCAGGAAAGAATAACAATCGGAGGAACGATAATAAAGTCTTCAATAAATTAAGTCGATTTCCGGAACAGATTCCGAACATTAGATTGTAAGATAAAATTCGGCGGTGACTACTTGTTACGAGTTTTTTTGGAGCACATACAAATAGCGGCCCGAGTACATACTAAATTAATATTTTTCTAATTTAAATTATACTTTCTAAGTTGAATTTTCCATCCCATTTATATACAGACTTGGGACTGTCTGTAACATCAGTACTACAGGTAGACTAAAAATAGTAGTATGTTTTTATTTAAAAATGTTGGCACTGGTAAAAACTTGTATGGTATTATTTTTATAAATTCAAGTTGGTCAATTTGTTTTGATCAAAAATCAAAATTATCTTGAAATAATAAATATCAATACGTTATAATGTTATACGCCTATATTATATGATTGCTGGTTGTCGTTATAATCTCGAATGGGGAACGATAATACAGGTATTAATAATATAGGTATGATAGATATAGAAAATATTGATTGTGCCAAAACTCTTCGGTACCGAAAAAACCCTCCGTTGGGGATTCGGATCAGACCTTTTTTCGTAGATATCTTAGGGACGCAAGCAACCAGTGAAATATTATTTTGAGATGTATACGCAGCCGGATAATATTTAATAAGAGACAACAGTCGCGATCAGTGAATATATTAATAATAATAAATAACGATAAATCGTAACCCGTGATACAAATATACCGTGATGGTGGTGATCATCATCGTTTTTTGTTCTTCTGTTTTTTACCGTTGGACGTGGCGGGCGATTGGCCGGAAAACGTCTGCTGCTGCTGCTGCTGGACATCTTGCAACCCGGTTACGGTCACCTTTGGCACGGTCAACGGTCTTAGCAACGACTTGACCATGGGTTTGGTGCGCGTGTGTACGGGCAACGCGGGACTGCTGGCGCACAACGCGGCGCCCGTGAGCTGAGACACCAGTGAGTACTGGTTGGCTGTGCCGCTGCTCGAGTCCGGGTTGGACGACGTGCGGAACGCTCGTTTCAGCTTCGACTTGATCGAATGGTGCTGCGTGCTGGCCCGCTGCAGCGTGATCGCGGCCGGCGGTTGCATCAGCCTGCCGTTGACCAACAGATGTGGGCCCAGCTCGGGGTCGCTGCCCCACCGGCCGTACGATGTCGTCCGTTCCAGCAGCCGGTTCCGGGCCAGTTTCTCGATCGCGTCCGCGCAGTTGTACCGGCCGCAAAATCTGGCCCATTGTTCAGCGCGCAGGCCCCGGCCGGTGTCGCGCATGGTGGGCGACGCGCCTATAAAAAAGCAACGTGCGGTATTATAGGCGTCAAACAATGCCGTGATTGGGCGCAGCAAAATTTAGAAACTATTTCCATGTTGTTATTGTATTAATTAGGGTCTACGTGTTTTAATTTAATGCGGTGCAACTCGTTTGCGCACAATTTAAATTTTTTACCTGGATATCGATGACTCGTTTGCGCACAACGAAATCAGTCGTTTACCTGTAAACGGACGACTCGTTTGCGCACAACATAATCACTAAGTAACATGTATTTTATATTTTTAAATTTGGACTTACCTAAAGTAATTGAATTATCGGTACAAATTATCAGCACAAATTACCAGCATATCAATATCAATATATAATGATTTAAAATAATCGTCGTGTATTAGGAAAGCGTAATACTTTTAAACAGTCGTTCGCCAGAAAGCTGTACTATAACTACTAACTGTATTGACTATGGATATCGAAATTTGTGATGTTTTTGAAACGCGTCGAGGAAAAAAATGTTTAAACATAGAAAGTTATAAATTTAGAGAATTCCGAACTTTAAAATCTGGTGATAAACATTTTAGGTGTACAAATAAAAAATGTTCCGTAAGTGCTGTAGTTAGGTTAGTTAATGAATCATATAAAATTTTAAAAATGACCAACACGCATACCCATGACGAGTACGACGACCGAACAATTCATCAAGAAGTAGTAAGAAGCAAATTGAAACGTAGAGCTGAAGAGGATTTACATATTAAACCAAATAAACTAATACGCCGGGAATTGAAAAACAATGATAACTCTGAACATCTTCAATATAGCGATATGAAATTAATTCGAAGATCCATGTATGAAAAACGAAAAAAATCCTTTCCAAACATACCGAGATCTTTAGAAGATGCTAAAAAACAATTAATTGATGATCAGCATAATCTTACTTACAAAGGTAATAAATTTTCTTTCGTTAGTGATGATGAAAATATATTTATATTTAAAAAAGGTAAATGTGCGCAAACGAGTCGCACCCATTTAATGTCACGTAAGCTGAAGTCTCTTTTTTTATTTATTCTTGCGAATAATATGCATTTAAATATTCAATCATGTGTAAGTATTAACTGGTTTTGTTTTTTTGTTTTATTTCTAATTCTTAATTTCAAATCTTTTTTTTTTTATATATATACATTTTATCTCTAACTCAATACCAGCTTAAAATCAATAATCATGAAATTGTAAGTAATCTTGTTTAAAAAGTGTACATTTATGATGATTAAAATAATAATAATAAAAAAAAAAAATGTATTTAAAATATTGTATAACTGACGTCAGTGCAAAATATATGTTTGTACTTGTAATTTGTAAAAGTTGTAATATTCCCCATTGACCATATGACATATGGCTAATTCATAAAGTTTTATGTTTGTTTATGTATTTTTTATGTTACATGTTCTTCATTCTCAATGGTATGGTGACAAAATATTGTTGATAACTATGTGTGAGTATAACAACTATTCTAAATCTGACCGCGACAAAAGAGGATATATTTGTAAATGGTTTTATACGTATAGAATATCTAATATGTAATAAAAAAAACAGTGTCGCTGAATAAAATTGAAACTGTCAGTTCAAATAATTAGATTGATACACCAACCCCTTCCAATTTACCACCCTTTCAAAACATTTTTTTTAGGCATATAAAAATAAATATACCAGTATTATACAGAAAAATTTGCTAAGCAATATGTAAAATAATTAATTTGATCATTTTTTATTTATTTTTTATTCAATATTCCCGGCAGTTCAATTGAACTACCAGGATTACGCGTTCGGCATAGTTTTTATAAAAATTTGTTCAAATTAGGTAGTGAACATTTAATCATATTCATACATTCTACAAATCGTAATCTATATTTTTATAGAGAATTAACCACAGAAATATTAATTGATTACAAATTAAAATAATAAGTAAATAACCGAATAAACAAGTATTAAAAAATATACAACAAAAGTTTTGGACAGTTATTCAACTTTCATGTAAATTAATAAAAATGCCACACACCATTGTGTATAATATATTACATACATATCTCAAAAAGTTTAAAGCTTCGATGGGCATTAATTATTGATTTATTCCTTACACGAATATCTTACATTCCAAAATGCACTTATTTTAAACACTACTATAATCAAAATACGCTTGTGAACTTTATTCGAACTGTCTACTAAACCACTAAAATCGATTGCGATGGATTCTCCGCAGCATTGACTTTCAACACTATATTTGAACTTCCCAACGCTTGTTCGTATAAACTCAACCTGAGCGATGGATGATTATATTATACTATGATTATAATCATAAATGCAAAGATAACAAAATCTTCAACAATATTACCTACTCTAAAACTTATTTTTAAAGAACACTTGTTAGAAAGTGTACAAACTAGTCTTTAATAACTCACGCAATTAAACAATCAATCGAATGTAATTATTTGTTATTCAAAATCAATAGATTAAAAGAACTTTCAAAAAATAAATAGCTTAAGAAGCAAAACAATACAATTGAAAATAACATGAAGCATAACTTTTTTTGAAAAACCTCGAAATGTTTTGAAAATGTAAGTTTTGACATTATATTTATATCAAAGACACGACGCAAATGATCAAATAAAACTTATCTCCTCAAATGACATCACCAAATTATTTACATTGGTGATTGATAACATTTTATTTTATTTATTTACACTGTATTTTCATGAAAATTCGTTCACATGTCATTATAGTTTTTATTTGTTGAAGACATTTATGTAGACATTAGATAACGAAATTAAAACGCTAGGTATAGTTTTATTTTTTAGATATTATTTTTGTTCGAATTGGAAAAATTTTAAATGTATTTCATTTTTATTACTTACCGACTATTACTCTTTAAAATTAACAAAATATTAAAACTTCTAACTTTGTTTAGTTTTTAATATTATTAATAAGAGCAGAAATTATATAAGTATATAATTATATACACTTTCATTATCAATATCAATAAATAAAGCAACCTCATTTATATTACATGAATATGTGTAATAAATATAAAAATAACTGTAATTTAATCCTTATTGTATCAAAAAACCCAAATGGCAGTATAACTCAATTTAAAAATAAGAACTTAATATAACTTACACTGATCAGTTACAAGTTAAATAAAATGCTTGATGTTGAAACTAATATCATCCGATGAGGGAACATGTACCATAATTTTTTTATTAGAACTATAAAACTGTAATAATATTTAAGTGTGCATTATAATTTTCAATAATTAATTTTCAGTATTCAGAATCAGTATGTAGGTACCAACTTTAAATAGGTAGGTACTCTATAAAATAAAAACTATTAATATATATAATATAATTATAATATTATATATAAATATACTAATATCATATATAATATATAATAATAAGAATTATTAAATAATTAAATTTAATAGTACTAATTATATTCGAAATATTTTGTGTGATGTAAGTAAAATAATACTTCAATTTTATCTAAATAGTAAATTTGAGTTTGAATAATGTCACCTGTCTGATTTGAAAGGGTTAAAACTTTTTGTAAATCTATTTGAATACTCAATATCAAACTATTCTATAAGTCTGAAAAAAAAAATATATATATATATATATATATAATATAACCTTAACAGAAACATTTACTTATTGTGTATGGACATTTTTTGTACAGTAAATTTAAATATAAATAAGGTAGGTTGAATACAACATTATAGTATTTGTTGGTAAGCTTTAGAAAAAAATACTAAGCAAACAAAAAAAAAAAGGTTATATTAATATTTTACCTTTAACTAAACAATTTTTGTTTCAAAAGATATTATTGTAAGTATCTGTTATATTCGTCTTAATTAAAAAAAATAATTCTCATTTAATGCATATAAACTCCAGTTTTTGAGTAAAAAATAATAAAGAATTAATTCGAAAATTATTTATACGGAACATACAATATCGTATTCTAATTTTGACTATTCAAGCTATTAAATAAATTATAAAGTATATCTTTTCTTAAGTTCTAAAGAAAAACATTTTACACTAATGAAGTTTGAAACACAAAATTAAATGTTGTATGATTAGGAGCACTATGAAATTCAATAATTAAATTCAAATAATTAAATTATTCAATAAATAATTATTCATTTAAATCGTAATTAATGAAGTACAATAATATAACATGTGTTATTGAATTTTGTAACCACATATTTCTTTAAATAAATAATTAAATCACAACATTTACTATCCATTTTTTATTTAGAAGGTAATAAATTATGTAAATTTCATTAAGTACCTATTTAATTTGTAAAATATTGAAGTAAAACTTAATATATGGTAGATAATCTTAATAAAAAATATGAATCTAAGTTAATCAAGAAATATTATTCTTTGTATAAAATAGATACCTTATCTAATGTCATAATATTAAAAGTAATTGTAGATATTTAAATTGAATAATTAAAAAAATAATAAACTTAATGCCAGTATATAATTAAACAATGATTAATTTTAGTTTATGGGTAAATCATTCACTTCTATAATATTAATTTAATTATTAATATTGGTTTATTTGTTTGGCAGTTTATATTTTACATTATTACACTCCTATATAATCTAATAATATGATCTAAAAATTAATTAAAAAAAAAAAAAAAAATTCTAGAATGAAGAAATGATAATTTTAATAATACACTGCACTTTTAAACATATTTCGAACGATTTATAGTACATTGCTAATTATATTATGTTAAAAATGCTCACAAGATCAAATACGAGTACGTTATAATACAAGTAAAGATACAAAATAAAAGTTCACTGAAATTTAAGCAATATTTAAAATTAGAGTAAAATCTAGCTTCCGTTAATAATATGTAGATGCAATAAAAATTCAAAAAATTAATATTTAATAAAATTTTACATTATTTAAATTATTCATAATTTATAATTTATAAAAACTCCAAAAATAAAATAAATATATATAACTTTAGTAAAATGCAATAATTTTACTTTATGTAAAATAGTTATTAAATTTAAACTATTTATCCAAGCATAAACATAAATAAATAAATAATAACATAAATAAATAAATTATAAATTAAAATTGTTTATTTTGTGGTAAACTAGTGTTACTACTACTTTACATTTCGTTAGTGACATTGTTGTATTTTATTTTAGTCATAATGCGAATATTTTTATACACAATAGTTATTGTACGGTTGACAAAACCTTATATGATAATAAATTATGCTCTAGCAATAACAATATTACTACTCGTCCTCTCATAACCATCATCATAAACCCTTTTCAATTGTATACGTGGTATACTATATACAAACGAATAATTTTGTGTTCACTGAATAATGTAAATTATACTTTTATAAAAATAATTTATATTTTAATTAACTGTACTTACATCAGTTCTATTTGCAAAACTTTATAGTTACATTTTTTTAAAAATCGAAATAATAAACTTATGACATTTATTTTGAGAAATATATAATCAATGAAAATTTTCACTTAAACGATTGAACTACGCGGTAATGAGCTAGAAATGTTTGACATGCCGAAACGCAAAATAACATATGATATCAATATACAACCTTTAATAACAGTGGCGCAGCGTGCCTTAGCGGGGCCCCGTATAAAAATTTGTTTGGGGGCCCTTAGGAAGGGTAAAGATTTCTCACAAAAGAAAAAAAATGTTTGCATAAAATTAAAAGAAATATTTATTAATCATAATTATCTATCTGTCACCTTTTCCAAAATGTTTACAAAAAATTCAAATTAAATATACACTCTCCTTGCCTTTTTTTCGGCAAGCTGATTTATTAAATCATTTATAGCTGATAATGACTAGTTTTTCTAAAGTTTCTACCTTTATGGACAATAGTGACAAGTCTGACATGCGTTCATCATGTCCCTTCGAAGTTCATAGGTAATTTTTTATCAGTTTCAATTTTGAAAAACTTCTTTCAGCAGTTTCGGTTGTAACTGGAAGGGTCGAGAATAAAAATCATGCTGTTATTACCTCCGGAAAACTGAATGCAAGACTATTGAATTTTATCAGCAATAATTCAATGAGTTCCTTAATGAAATGAATTTTTTGAATTTCAGATTTTAAGCATGTTTTTAGAGTCTTCATGTTATTGGTCATAAAGATTAACTGAGATAATAATCTCTTTTCCTTTCACTCATGGTTTTTTACAAATCGCTACTAATACTACTAAACCAGAAGAACAATTGTTTGTACTGTATTACAATATAATACACAATTAAATAAAACGTCAATAAACACTGTTCTCCGTGGTTTATCATCGTATCGTATGTACATCGAATATTGTGGGATTCCTCCATTGAAGTAAATTACTTAAACGAGGAAATCCCGTAGCCCGCGATAACCGATGTAGGGCCAACTTTTGAACGCACGCTTTTTACGGAAATAAAGAAATTGCTTTTTTTGACTTTTGTCATTTCTGAAATAAAAAAAAATTTGGAAAATTTTTATTCATTTTTGCTTACACACGTTGGGGCCCCTTTGGCCTGGGGACCCCGTATGATTGATACGGCAGATACGGGGGTAGCTACACCCCTGTTTAATAATATTATCAAGAAAGATGGGGTAGATTAGCTAATACATCCTCCGAATGACGTTGTAATTCATGTAAATAAGGTACAGTAAAAATTGAAAAAACGTGATTGAAATCATACGTGGTTGAATTAAAATTGAAAAAGCAAATATCAATTTAATAGGAGAAAATAAATAATATTTTAGAATAAGTTACTTACCGTACATTGTTAAATGTATTTTTATTTAATTTTTTTACTAAATTTTGAATTTTAGTGTATTTATTTCAAAAATATTAATAAATTAATTATAGAGAGAACTAATATTAAAATTTCGCACACTAATCGAAATTATTATTATTAAATTATTACAAAAACAATAATCGTAATATATATATAATATGAAGTATATTCATGGCGTCCATTATTTTCCATAAATTAATAATAACATATTCCTAAATTTGTCAGTGAGCCTATACGTTATTTATCGCATTTAAGTATCAACAAATATACAGGTCTTAATAAGCATGAAATTTACACATTTTATTTATTGAGGTACCAACATTGTATGCATACTTCTAATTTAAACCGAAAATTATGCCTGTTAACTGTATTCTTACTAATAAATAAATAACCCATATTTATGTATAAGAGTATATAATATTTTTAATAAAATGATTTATGAATATCTGTTTATTATAACTGTATAACTTTAAATACAAACTTTTCCCTACTAAACCACCATATAAATAAGTTCTAAAGTATTATCTTTAATGCAAATAATGAAATAAAAGTAAATTATTTACAACAAAGATGTAAAACTAGTAAACAAGTTAATTTTTGCCTGTGTAGCAAATTATTACATAGTATGAATATAATTTTTAGAAGTCTCTTTAAAAATATTACCTAAACTATTATTGGATGAATATTGTTTAGATCCGGGAAAGATTTAGGACTTTAATATTCTATCAAACGATATACATAAAATCAGTTATTATCTAACAATTGATTTACTTACTCTTTTGATTAAGCCTATATATGAATATATAATAAATCTATATAGATAAATAAATGTAAAAAGAATCTTTGTAATATATACTCTCTCACACTACTTATCCAATTATTTCGATTTTTTTTTTTTTTTTTTTTTTTTTTATTGAAAGAGTATCAAAGATCAAATTAACTTTAGGCTTCATTTATATTTTATCGGATAATTGAGTAATTATTTATTTATAATTATTTATTTTCCAATATCCATGGCCAAGCAAGGCAAGTAAAACACATTCGCCTGGATTTTATGTTAAAACTGTGGATTAGACCATCTGTGGGCTACTAAATAAAAAGCTAAAAAGCTAAAAAGTCCTTAACTTGCAATAAGTTTCTCTTGCTGACATAGCAAGAGAAATTTACTGCAAACCCTAAGCCTGGGTTAAAATGAGAAAGAAAGAGTGAGTATTGTTTCTCAATTTGTTTTAACAAGTAAATAATGAAATAATAAACAATGTTATTAAAACTATTTCTACTTATAATAAACTGTTCGAAAAAAAAGTTGAAGTTCGAAACTGTATTTTTAAATAATATCTGTACACGGTTTGAAGCAACATTTGACAAATTGAACTTGATAATGAGGGTGATCCCTTAATATTGTGTAACATTAGTTGGGTAAATCTAACTTATTAACTATTATTTATCTGATAGTGGTAATACCTGCGTATAGTAGAAATTTTGCACATTTGGTGCGTCCCTGGAGAGCGGCCTTCATTAGTGGTGTGAAACCCAAACAGTTTCTAGCATCAATATCTAGTTGTAAACAGTTGTTCAATAACAGGCAAACAATTTCAGAATGTCCTAAAAGTAAATAGAAACCGTATTAATTCATACATATTATTAATCAAATCAATAACTATTAACATAAAATAAAAGTGGTTTTTTTTTAAATCTATTTTCATTGCTTTTATAAGTTCAAAAAAGTTAATTAAAAAAGAAAAAAAATAATTTTAAAACATGGCAGGAACAAATTTTTTTATTTCATAAACATAATTTTAAGTAATTTGGTAGTATAAATCTTAATTTAGTTTAATAGCAATTATCTTTTTGATCATTCATAAAATATTTAGACGTAAAAAAGTGAAATTTCAAAATCATAATAAATTATTTATTTTTTATTTCAACTGAATTTCTTTCAATAAATTGAATTAATGTAATTATTGTAAATTTTATAATTGTCTAAAATTATTTATAAGTACGATTTCAATGAAATACCTATTTTAATTAAAACAATTTTTACTTTTGTTACTATAATAATATACTAATAAATAGTGAAATTTAAATTATATTTATTCTCATTAATGAATAACACCAAAAATAATAGTACTTACCTACCTAAATTCAAACTAATCAAAGTATTTTAATGTTTTAAGTTCATTATTAATTAATATAATTATATATATTTGCTGTCAATTTAAACACATTTTAGATTACACAGCTTCTCACTTTTTATTCAAATGTTACCTAAAGGATGAATATTACGAACACACCCTCGAAAATACGTCATTCACACCGTAACTATACGTATACTAACCTGCCTGTGATGCAAAATGCAAAGGTGTGTTTCCCTCATTGTCTGGTTTATTATAATCTAAGTCGGGCACTCTAAAAATTTCCTCGACAATTTCGACACTCCCACTCGATGCCATGTAGCTCAACAGTGTCTGTAACAATAAAAATTCATACTTTTAAATTTTTAGATAACAACTATGAATTGGAAAATTGAAAATATAGTGCAAATTGTTGTCAGATTACCAATATTCCCAATCAATAGATATTAATAATTATTCATAATTCATAATATCATTATAATATAACATGTATAATATTACATTTATAGTCCTAATAGAGTTTTCGAAATCTACATTAGAACAGTTTAAAATAATTTATTGACTACCTGTATAAAAAAAGTATGTTGCATTAATAATATCGTTCAATTATTATTTGATATACGATCAACATTTAAATTTTATAGTTTATTTATTTAACAAAATTATAATGTTGTCAATTCTATAAAATAACAAAATGTAATTAAAAGTATAGTAATCTTTAAGTAATCCAGCCGTTCCATATTCGGTACGTCCAGTAATCCGGCTGTATTTTATTTTAAAATGTTGTGTTATTAATTATCAATTATTAATTGTATTATTAATATTAAGTATCATTTGAAAAAAAAAAAAAGCAAATTAATAATTTTTAAAAACCTGAACCATAAAAAGATAAATTCACAGTATGTATGTATGAATTATTTATATGTTTTAATAAAATAAATAAAGGTTTTTCAATAAGTAAAAGTAGTTTTTATGTGAAACTTCATTAATTCGGCGTTTTTGTTAATCCGACAAATTTGTTATTTGTCGGATGATCGAGAGTCTACTGTAATAATTTAATAATAATATAATTATTTAATTAATAAATAATAACCAAGTTCTAAAAGTATATTATATTTTATAGGAAATAAATTAATATTAGTAATATATAAATATTTGAACATTTTTTTATTTACCGAGTATCAAATAACATATTTTTTTAACGATTAGGTCAAAGAAATTAACTCTTTTTTTATATTTTATATTTTTATATTTTATAAAAAAAATAAACATGGCACTGAAAGTAAATGAAAAATTTGGTTTTATAAATTACTTTGAAAAATCACCTATTGATAAAGTACCTATAATACTTAGTTATTCAATTTAATTGACCAATACATATCTTATAAATATTTTCGGGAACGACAAAGGAAATTATACACAAGAATTAAAAATAATAATGAATACTCTTCAAATACATCAATCAACAGTCTTCACCCCCAAAATGGCAAAAGTTTTTTTTTTAGCTAGGTACTCCCAATAATACTAGAATAAGCAATGTACAAGTATATAAATGTATTAGTTATGAATGGCAACCTAGCAGGAGGTTCTCCGTAAAGTATTAATGCTTTACTTAACTTATCTGAGTAAACTAAACTTTAACTTATAAGGTTATCAATTATTAACTAGATTTGATATTCAATTTTTATATGTATAGAAAAATATTTAGCTTCAGTATATGGAACTAAAAATAAGAAATATAACAGTTAATATAATATAACATAAATTAACTAATAAAATTGTAACACCTTTACTTTCAAAATCGTAAATTAATTCTGCAAGTTCAACATTTAGTTCGCAACAATTGATTACAATTTTTTGAGTATTAATGAACGAATGACAGTCCATTGCATTTTTAGAATATTTATAAATTTATGGAGATATTAATGTTATTTGTTACGAAAAATAATGTTTTTAAACGATTTTAAGTCGTATACATTTATTTTCCAATTGTTTCTTTTTTGCTAAATGAAAACAAAGATTATGTGTAATATATGGATTTAATTTGTAGACGTATAACCAATTATATTTCATGCTCTACTATCATATTTTTCATATGTGTTTTTAGTCCTTTGATACATCAGATAAATCTGCTGAATGAGTTTACGTTCATCTATTCTAAATTGGATTCAACCACACATAATTAGATCTCTGTAAATGACCGGTGTCTGATGAGTGTACCGTGAACTTGAATTACCTGATCATGTCTATAGCTAGCGAAAAATAAGATGACATCCATTGCATAAAAGAATAACCACAAAATAAATGTAGAATACAAACACTATAGATATTCTTACGTTTTAAGCTAGCGAATATAAAGTATTTTAATTTTAGAAGAAAGATGATACTATTTTTTGCTCGAGAGAGTTCTATCGCTCATTGTAACCGATATGGTCATTGAATAATAATATCCTCATTTATCATTTATTTCTTGATTCTCCTGTCCTATTTAGGATAGGACTAAAATTTGAAATATATACTATGTGAAACATCTAGGACGGTTGATTCAAAAATTAAACACTTATAAATTCTGTCTCTGGAACATAACTACAACAATGATGAGAGTTACCTCATTCTCGTTTCCTGTATCCGATACATTATAATAAAAAATGAATCAGAGAAACGAGAAAAAATCTTTCTACGTGACAACTAATTCCTGGTAGAACCGAAGTACACTTCTAAGGAGCACCAGTTAAGTTTACCTTCTATTAAGCGTCTTTTGAGAAAGGGTCAAACTTGAGTTTATTACAGTTATCTGTAACCGTACTAAAAGGGTAATATGGATTTATATATGAGGTGAAATAATTTAATCATTAGTTACAACCAACTAACCATTTTGACGTCAAAACTGATTCGGTGTCAAAATATATGCTGAACTTTGCAAGCGTCTACATTTAAACGGAAAACCTGTGACCAACCTCCAACTTATACCCGTGTTATTATTATGTTTAATTGTGATCCGATAGAAGCCCACTTATTGATACATATTATATATTAGTATTTCTTGATACATATTGATACATAAATTATATTCATAGAACCATAGGCTCACAATTCTAACGTGAATTCTTAATCTTCCTAGTGACACCATTAACCAGTACCCAACTACCTTTTGACAACGACTCACTATGATTTAATAGTTAATTCAGTGAAGCCTTTGTCACAGAAGAATAATTTTCAATTGTTATGGAGATTTATTTCTATATGACATAATACAAAGATACAAATTACGAATATATTTTATAAAGCATACATTAATTTACCTTACCTTTTATTGCCTAATAATGTTGTTTTTATCGTGAAATATATACGCATCAATTTACAATGAATTTTTTTTTACACATTAAAATAACTATAATACCTATGTATTGATATTTTTTAAATAAATATTATATTTTTGTAAATTATGAAAATTGTTTCTAAAAATGAATAGGTAACATTTTCTACTAAATTAAATAATTTAAACATTTGTCCAACACATTTTAATAATATCTAGGGGTACTTCAGTGAGTATTTACTTAAATTTCATAAGATACTTTAATTTTTTATTGAAATGATGAAATTTAATATCCTCTTATTTAAAATAACATGAAAATCGTGTTTATCCATTTTGCATCACAGTTTTTGTATTAATTAAAAAAATACTTGATAATAAAATACTAATGTCAATTAAAATAAATACAGCCTAATTCCTTATTAATAAAACACATTTTACATTTATGTATAAAGCAAACACTTAATTTAATTAAAATAACTAATCACTAAATAACCGTTTTGGAATTTATACAAATGTCTTTATATACTACAATATTCGTATGATTCAATATTTTTAAATTATTTGCTAAAATAAAAAATAAAACTAAAAAGTGATATAAAATTGATGACTTCTTTTAGCATTATAATTGTAATTTGTATTATTTTTCGACCTCCTTTAAGTTAAATTTAATTTAGGTAAATACTACGTGCTCTGAATTTACGTATAGATGTTTAATTATTTGAATAATATATTTGTATTTTTTATTGCCATTTTTCACTAGAATATATATGAACTGTACCATATACATGTATAATGTATATTATTCAACATATTTTGTTTAACAAAACCAATAACCTATACGTATTATAGTAGGTATGTAAGTTTCTATGTTATTTTTCGTTAACATTCATTTTCATAAATCATTTTTTATTACTTCCAAAATATAATCACAAAAACGTGTGATGTATTTATAAAAACATTTAGTCTAAAATCATTGTGTTGTTAATATATTTTTTTATTACTTGTAGACATATTTTACTAAAAATAATGTCTTCTGAATAACTCACAAATAACTTATAGTTGAAACTTACCCGGCCTGTAGAATCTGTATCATTAATGTTCATTCTAAAAAACTCTTCATCGTGACTTGTTAAAATATTAACAACTGTATCTAATTCCATATCTCTTGCGGCTTTTAACATCTGCATAATGCATTCAGCTGGGTCGTCGATATTGATACGTACTAATTCTGGCGGTGTCCTTACTCTAGGATCTGGTATTTCTGGTGACATTTCTAAAAAAAATTTAAAAATTTTATATTTTAATATTGTCGGTATTTAAGATAATGTCGATATTACAGAAACGTTACGATATCAATATTATTGTGAAATATTTTAAATATATTATAGGTATATATTTTACACAGTGTACATGTAAAAATTGCAGTTAGCGGTACTCGTACATTTCTGTAATAGGCTTTAAATGAAACACCGAATACTATCGATTCAATCAACAATAATATAATGAAAATTAAAACTTATTAATTTTAGATTTTAAAATGTGATAGGTAATTTGTTATTATTATTATATTCATAAATTGTTGGGTATGTACTTTTAATTATCAATCATTATAACCATAAGTGTAAATATTATCAAACCTTAAACAATATTCAACTGGGTTCAAATTTACACCCTAAAAACATATTTACTTTTCAACCATAAGTATATGCTATATTTCCGGAAACGGAAACTATATCGACAGTTTTATCTAAAAATCTGAGCAATATAATAACATAATTGGATATATTGCTTATTGTTAATAAATAATTTAGAAATAATAGAATATACTTTTATATATTTATAAAAGATAAGCTTACTCAATATATTTATATATTTTTATTAAAATCTATTTAAATGTATCATAAGATGCGCATCAGAAAATGCATCCAACTAATTAAAGATAGTTTTAATAATTATTACAACGCATGAATTAAGTTAGATAAACTTGGGTTAAACTAACACAGGTACATCTTATCATTTATCATTTTGCATAATATAATTTTATTGATAGTTTTACCATTGAGTACTTTGAATAGTAAATCCAATGTTTATGTTATAAAATACACTCGCATGAGTAGTACTAATGAAAAACAATTTGTTGTGGTGAGTTTTGACACAATATATTTAAGAATAAAAAGTTTGTTATTCATACAATAAAGCTATAGGATTAAATCACATTTTTGATGCATAATAAATATTTTTACTTACTTAAGTTAACTTTTTTTAATTAATATTAAACATTAATACAACAATCGTTTTATATTTTGTAGGCTTATTAAAATAATACATGTTATTATTTTTAAATTTTTTTATTGCTTTTATCCAAAAGATATAACTTAACAATTATAATTTTTATAAAAATACAGTTGTCAAAAAATATTTGTGTTTCAAAACAATGTGTGTCATGTTTTACAATACATTTAAATAAATTACCATAATTTAAATGTAAAAATCTGCGTTATGAATGAAATTAATGATGAGTGCGATAACGGAAGGAGAACAAGAATTGAGAAAAAATATTAGACCTGAGAAAGAGTAGCCAAGAGACAAGAGTAATGTAGAATAATTAGTCGAGGAAAAAAATAAGAAAAGGATATGAGAAAAGAATATGATGTATGTCACATGCGGTTTCGAGGGTATGGAGAATGCAAAGGGGAGAAGAATTAATAAAAAGAAAAATTAATGATTAGGATGATTATGATCAAAGCGGAGTAGACGATTGTGAATTGGAAAGATCCAGATCCCGGTACCAAGGGGAGTTAGGGATGTATGAGGAGATGGATCTGTACCACGAGGCATAGTTAGAAGAAAAAGTAAACTCAGGCCGATCCATACTTTTTTTATATGAGATTAAAGTTTATAATATACAAGAAGGACGAGTAATGAAAATTATTTAAGCATGTTCAAGGTATTTTACTCGTATAAATTAACACATTTCATTATTATTGGAATTGGTAAGTAAATAAACAATAATAGATGAGTTTTAAAATATTTATATTAATGTTTTCATTCTTAGATAATGAGTCGCGAATTTTATCGTAGTTAAATATTTTCTAATTTTGTTAGTGTTTGAAAATTTTTTTAAAGATACCAATGTCAAATAGTTTTATAATAAATAATAATTAACATTCCAATTCTATTATAATTTTTTTTTTTTTATTCTTAAATTATAAATTACGCAGTTCCTTAAAAATGTAAGTTCTCGATTTAAATATAAATAGAAACAAGTATTTAAAAAAAAATATGCTATTCGACGTTTTTTTTCCAGGAGCATAGGTGATTTATCCGAAATGTTTCAAATACAAGTCCCTAATATGAAAAACCACACATTCACACCGTGGGTGATTAGCCATTATTATCCGAGTACTAATTTATTGTTTAAAAGAATCAAAATATTCAGATTAGGTTAGGTTATTCTTTAAATGATTAAAAATAAATAACATACTGTTGTTTACTATGTTTACATCAATTGTAGAATAAGTGTAAATTTATAAACGTACGATATTTTTTTGAAATATTTGTTTCCAAGTTTTGTCGCTGTCAACATTACGACGTGTTTAGAACGAAAATTTCACAACAACAATATTTACCTTCGACGGAGCTGTTTTCGTACACGGTGATCTCGTGGAATTTCTTGTGCACGTCGTGTATGCTTTCTGAGAGTTTCTTGTCGTACAGGTCAAAAGTTACTGATTTTCGGCTCGTGTCTATGCTGCATTCGTCTGCCGAGTATCGTCTGAAATCATTCATTGGAAATAAAAACCTCACCCACAGCAAATAAGAACAATAATATATATATAGTAAAGTATTATTTTTAGTTATTACGCTTATTACAATATATCGCAGCGTTTATTGCGCGTGTTCATAAACGTACTATTCGAATATAACTGGCGTATAATATAGGTACTGTCGGTTGGTTTGTCTTGCCACGGAGTAACCGCAAGGTTTAACAGACCATTTTATTGTAATATTTGTACACACGTGTGTTCGTGCGCGCTCGAGTGTATGTGTGTGTCTGTGTGTATGTGTGATTGTCTAATTATAATGTTCGTGGACTCCTACCGTTTCTACAATAATACTTTTACACACATTATATTCTATATTTATATATTTATAATTGTATATATTTATCAGCTTTGTACCAGTGCACGCATCGGGCCAGCAATATAACAACAGAAGCGTCGGAGAGAATCATTCACGCGCACGCGTGCGCGCTTACCACGGACTTCCGAAAGCTGCTCACGTCGAACGTACGCGCGACGCACGTCAACCTCCGCGTGCAAGGCCGACAACTGCACAGCGAGTCGTCCGCGTATGCGAACGGTACAACGTATCAAGGGCGCATAATGCGTACAATGCTCGTATATATTATTCAGTGGCGTCTCAGGAGGCCGGGGTGCAAACCGGGATCCAATTAGAGGCCCCTTAAAAAAAAAAAAAAAACGAAAAAATTTTTTGTAACTTTTTTCCTCTCTTTTGTGCACCACTTTCATTTGCAGGCTTAGACATTTCGATTTAAAAAGGGAACAAAAAAACAGAAAAAAATAACGAATCAGACAATATATAAATTTTAGACTTTAGTTTTAGATACCCCTTAGAGTTTGAGGCCCCGGTGCATTGCACCCTCTGCACCCCCGCCAAGTCCGGCACTGATATTATATCGAACGATAGTGAATAGACAGACGTTTTTTCACACCATCCGTCGTCGTACACGGTCGATTTTGATTTTCGATTATTATCATGCATGCGTACAAGATTTTTCACTCGCAACAGTCACAATTCGGCGAACACCGTTGATTTTCATCGAAATCGTGCTTTACTTTTGCATCGTTTGAACATTGTACTACAGAAAACACGCGACTTCGAAAAGCGCATGTCTAACGATATTGGACGTGCCAATAGAATAGTGCGCTCAAACTTTCATCTGATTCTTATATGATTTTAGAATTAAAAATATATACGAGTAACTTTCAAAGTGTATATTAAAATGTATATAAATACTGCTACCACCTATTTGAATACAAATTTAAATTAAGAATTAAATATTTTTCAAACAATTATTTTACTTTAAGTGTGACTTTCAATAATCTAAACTATAAACTCTTAAATAGGTATATCAGCGAATCGTGTGCACGGTGCATAGCCACTATAATATTCAAAACCCCTCCCCAATAACTGGACAACTAAAAAGTCATATCTATACTATCTCCATCCTTATTTGTGAATTATTCTTTTCAATTTAAGAGTACGTCATCTGTGTCAGTAATTACTGCAGTAGGAGCGGTAGAATTTGCATGTAACTCGGATCTGACAAATGTATTTTTATAAAAGTCTTAATTATTATTATATATACTATTAAGTATTAATAGTATATATTAATTTGTATTATATTAATATTAAGTATTATAATTAATTGTTTTTATGCATTTTTTAAATATAATGTTATTCCATTACTGTGCCCAAAACTTTCAATTTTAATTTACCGTGTGTTCTATCGTTCCGTGCTTAATTGTTGTAGACCCCTCTTCAACACAAATATTTGGTTGATTGCTTTTATCCATTGAAAACATACTTACAATTGATTTAATAATTTAAAAATTATAAAAAACCAAACTGGAAGTCTGTAAGCTATAAATAACAACATAATAACGACTAAATGCTTAGCCCTTTAAATCTAGCGATTTTAATTATTATTAAAATATTTTATTTGATAGAAAAAAGTAAAAGTGACTTATATCTACATTATATTGGGCGTATATATCTTAGTATTATGCCGACTAAAATTAGAACTGATAATATGTGTGATGGAGAACACAGTATAATAAAAACATTTCATTAACGAAATATTTTTATTTATAGTGTACTAGTTGTTTATACTATTTGGAACTATCTAACTAAGATTCAAGTAGTGTGGATACTAATGATGAATTATTACGTTTAAAATGGCACATAAAAATGATACGGTGAAATAGATTTGACTTTTAAAAAGCTTATATTAATTCCAAAACCAGATATTTTTTGTCGCTCATTCAATATTACGTTATCTATTTTAGCTAAAATATTAATCAAACAACTTTAGAGAACTTTCGGCAAAACATAAAAATAACTAAATTTAAATTGATTATTCTAATTAGTCATGATACAATATTTATTTTAATATATTTGTTCTCTACTCTCTCAGAATAGCATATGTTCATTGCATATACATATTAAATTATTAATACATTATATCTATCTAAATATAGATGATTTAAACATTTTTTTTTTATAATCATAATTTATAAAATATGATATGCTATAATATAATGGAAAATACCATTATTTCAAATTATTTTAAAGTTACTGTGAATTGCATAACGTGAAAAATGCTATAAATGTATTAAAATCAGAACTAAAAAAGTCATAATTTTTATATTAAACATTTTTATAATCACACATAAAAACATAATTAGTTTTAAAAATTTAATTTTTTTAAACCTCACATAATAATATTAAATAAATGAATAATATCTAATATAAACATTATTTCGATCAAAATCTTTTAAATTAATTGTAAATAACATTACCTTTCAAAATATATTTTGATTTACAAATTTTAATTTGTAATATACTACTATCTACATTATTCAAGATGGAAAATAAGTCATTAAAGGTTCTAGTATTTAAAAAAACATTATTTTGTTCTAAGATTTTTCAAACTTTTATTATTATTTATCAGTAGGTACTATTTTGTATTTAAAACATTTATTTCGAACATAATATAACCTGTCAGACACTTGAGTAGGAACAAATACTCAACCATTCAAATACATGACCTTCAAATAAACCATTTTCAAACTAGTAGCCCTCAACCAATTTATAAATAGAAATATTATATATGTATATATTTTAAGAAAATTATTCATAACAAGAAAAATTAACAAAAATATGATCTTATTTATACCAATTAAAAAAATAAAACCTAGACTTAAGTAAATAATCACCTCTAGATTAGCAGTATCAGTAGTATTATATTTTATAAGATATAAATTGAAAATACCAAAATTTGAAAATAAATAAATGATTAGTTATGTAGGTATGAAGTATCATTAAGAATATCTGTTATATACCTGAAATATACCGTATTCAGTTTAATGAGTTTAAAAAAACTTTAAGTATCACAATAATTTTGCATTATTTTTTTTAAAAAAATCGCTTTATTTATAATTTAATCGCCGTTTAAATCAAAAAAATAAATTAAACAGGCTCACTATGATGACATAATAATGATTAATGACAGTGAGGTTTGAGAAAAGATAGATACTCAATTATATGGTTTTATTTTATTTTTAATAAATACGAGTACATAAATCTATAAATGTCACGATGTGTTTTTGTCAGTTTGATACTAACCTGTGACTTAAATAATCATCGTGGCCATTGTTGTAATCGTTCGGAATTGACCCACGTCCAAGAGTTGTATTATGTTCTGTCAAAGCATATTTTTGTCCACCGCGTCTATGACACGTGGTTGCAGAAGATGGTACAATAGTAGATTTGAAAGCCTAAAAAACATAAACTCTATTATTATACTTGTGTATGTATATTTATAAGTAATTTACTTAATGAAATAAAATATAATATTTATGTATTGATTACTTATGTTTGATTGTTTAAATGTATTACTAATTTATTTAAATTATTCTCAAATATAATATTTTTATTTTTTTTTTATATAAAGATAAGACTTATTTTTCATACGTTATAGTTTTCATTTTTGAAATACACTTGAGTGAGATACTTTCACAATTTAAGAATCTAAAAATTAAAATTAAATCAAAAAATTTTCATTTATTCCATAACTTTATAAAGCTATTCTCATTTTTATTCAAATTTTAAGTCATTTTAAGTATTAAGCGATGGGTCTAATCTTCAATATTCATATGATTTATTAAAGCTTATGTGTTTTTATTTTGGATTGCATAAAATTTAAGGTAAATACATAGGTACCTAATTTAGCTTTTAACTGTAATAAAGAAAAATTGATTTTTTAAATTTAAAATTGGTAAATTATTATTATTTTACATAATTTTCTAGATCTAAATTTACCATGCATTTTTTTTATACTTGTTCTCTTGTAATTTATAACTTAATAAAAAATTAAACATTTTTTGAAAAAAATAATTTTTAAATATTTTAATGTATTTATTAACTTATTGTAATATACTTCTCAAAAATTCATTATGCATCATTAAAATTTTTATAAACCCAATTTTTAAATTCCATGATTTACTTATTTTTATGAAATCTAAAGAATAAATTCGCACATTTCACTTCAATCGTAAAAACCGTAATTGATACCGAATTTAACTAACGCTTAGTTTTTAAACTCTTTTGTTGTTTATATTATCTTAAATTATGAATGAAACGCAACATTTTCAACAGTTACCCTCAGCCAAATATAAACACAAAATTAATTCGTATTCTAAATAGTTTAAAATATAAATGTAGTATTCTTTAAAGACTTAGTATTTTCTTGTCATGATAATTCATAGTGTATTTGTTATTGTTTTCATTAATGAAAAAAATCAATTACAATAAATCTCAATTCTTTTAACAATTTGTACAATTTAACTAATAACAGTAATAACATCAGTACATATTGAAATAATCATTATTTTCATACATTTTTAATTATTTATAGATTTTTACAAGAATATTAATTTTAGGGCGTGATTTATTTTCAATCGTTTCTTAGTAAAATTATTCTGGTAACCCATAAATAATACAGTAAACTAAAAAAATAAATATTTGCATCTGTATATATTTTGTACATAAATTATAAGTTTAATATAAGCTTTCTCTTATTTTTCTTAGAAACCGTTTTTTTATTAATAAATCAAATACTCAATGTATTACAAAGCTCTATTATTTGAGATTGCCATGCGATACACATAGATACACTAAAAAGCTTACAATTTAGTTTTATTACACGATGACAACCGCTATCTGTATTTTTTTTATTAACTTTTCACATTTCTAAATTTCTAATAATTAAAAAACTACCTCAAGCAGATACAATATGCAAAAACTGATCAATTATCAGTGTTGCAAAAATGCATTATTAGAATTACTATATGAACATACGACTAAAACAACAAACATTTTCTAAACATATAAAATCCAGTTTTAAGGAATTAATAATTTTATCGGAAATTAACTTAATTATTGTCTTATATTCTATTTTTTTTCTTTAGTGATCTTCAATACAACTCGGCAGCAAAATCCATTAGTTACATTTTCATAATTACAATTATCAGTTATTTAAAGTTTTTACATTTTAATTATATTTTGTCATTAAAAATTAATAATTTTAATAGTTTTATAATTTTCTTGTTTGGATATGGTTTCGGTTCTGGAAGTGTGACAAGAGTTTTAGATTTATACGCTCCTGTTCAAATTGTTGGTATTCCGTTAAGACATGTTTTATCATGAAATGTGAGCCACATACGAATACTTCATAAATTGGAAGCTCTTCATTTGACATTAGATATCCATGGATTAAACTCGAATGTCCAATTCTTAAGTCGATTTATAGTGGTTTCATCCTTTCTAGTATGATAAGGGTTTTCCAATCTAAAAGTTGTTTTCTTGATCTGTTTAAGTAAACACGTGCCCAAGGCCCTTATCTGACTAGATGCCCTGAATAATAGAAATTACAATTTTAAATTATAAGCTGTAACGTATTAATACGATCTTCTATAAAAAAAATAGTTCTAAATTCTAGATAACAAAATCTTAGGTAAATGACAATGTTAAAATGAAATAAAATAACAAATAATGAGTGTTTAACTGTAGGTAATTACATTAGGTGTAGGTTTTTTAAAATAAATAACCCATATCACGCGGCTATACAATAGTCATCATACAAAATAAGTTCCTTGTTAATGTTTTAATTCAACTTTTTTTCACCCTAATAAAAAAGCCCTTAATTTCCAGGTATCCATGGTCCCCTGCATAGCTGTAGACGACCCTGCACATAGTTAAATACCCATTCTTCCGGTTATCCTCTCAAGTAAATCATGAGATTATAACGTATCAACGTGTATTTTTTTCTAATACTGTAAAAATCGGTATTGTCATTCGTTACAGTAACATTTTATTATTTTTTTTATTTGGTGCTTATAGGTCAATCATGATTGACGTGAATCGATTTATATGTAAAACTTGGAGTAGGGGAAAGAAGCACACGAAAGGAAAGTGGAAGGTTGAAGTATAATAGGATAATGAACATTTCGGCACCGGTCATATTGCTATGACAGCGACAGTTTATAGTTTAGTTAACTTCGTCGAAGGTCAGGAACCAAACGTTTATACGTCAAAAACAAAACATTAACTTCATACATCAACTAGTTAATATTTTTTTTCGTAAATATTCACACATACCAAAAATTAATTTTTTACAATCAATCTCTGGAATTTATGTATTATCACTACAAAACATTATTTCTATTGGTAAGAAGTATCTCAATTTCTCAAGTCAGCAATTAATTAAGGATATTATTTATAAAGTAATTGGCTTTAAAAAAAAATTTAATTAATATATAATATTTAATTAATAAAACTGGCAGTATATTAAGTATTTAATTTAACAATAAATGTTTTTTATTTTATTTTTTTGCCTTTGTTGCAGCAAAGCAATATAAGCTAAAAATAAATAAGACTAATTACATATAGAGAAAACTAAAAACAAGTTAAATTAAAAATCCAGATGAATTAATGAATTTGATAACGGAATGGATGACAGAAATGAAACGAGAGTTAAAGAGGAGATTTGAATCGGGGGTGATAAAACAATATAGGTTAAATAACCAAAAAAATTAACAAAATATTCTAAATAGTGATTGAATACAAGATGAAACATTTTACTTGAAAACCGAAGAATAAAACATAAGAACTTAGGGATATTTTGATGTTTGTTTTTTGAACATAATATTTGTGACAATGACAATGACAGTCGAAATAAAAATAAGCATCTGTGTATAAAATGTATAATGTTACATTTATGTTCTTGGATGATAAAATACAAAAATAATCAATATTTTTGCAGCATATATAATATAATTGTAAATAATATATTACATAGTTAAATTATAAAACTATTAAAACTTTAAATGATCCGATTACTAGTAAGAAAATATTGGGGCAAACTTATATAAAGTCATATAAATATATCAAACATTATTCTATTGAATAAAAAAATAAGTTAACATATGAGCTAAATTAACAAAAAAAAAATCTTTAGTTAAATGAAACATGATTAAATAAATTATATTACAGTTTTACATATTAGAATACAGTTTTTAGTTAACTAAATGATTTATTTAATAAATAATACTCGTAATTGTTTAATATTCCACAAAAAATTAACACTTAATTTTTTAAAATTTTAAATATTACCTATACATCGATAAAACTGTTGTGTAAAAAAATCGTTTGAAGTTTAAATTATTCAAGATTCTTCTCTTTAAAATTAAAACAAAATAATATATTATTTTAAATTAAGAGTTTCCGTTCTAATTTTGTTTCTTTTTTTATCAAAAGCTACACATATTTTTTTAAAAAATTACATTAACGGACCAACTGTGCCCAATTTTAATTGAAAAAATTTATTTAAAAAACTTTAAGCCCAAATTGTGAACATAAACATACATTTATTGTAAATTTAATTATTATATAAACGTTCAATCTAATACTTATTTAAAATAAACTTCGTTTCGAATCACATTCGTAAATATAATATCAAATTTTAAGAAGAGAACAATAACAATATCTTTTTCTTCTCCTTCGCCTTTTTCCCAACTATTTGGGGTCGGCCACACTTGTCCTAAACCTCCACTCGTCTCGACTTTCTACATCCCCTACGCACATACCAGCAGCCCGCATTTCATTCTCAAACGTATCCAACGTATTTATTTTTTTTGTCTTCTACTTCTTCTTTTCTCTTTGGCATTCATTTGCATAGAAACTCGTATTGCTTTTGTTTTCTCTAGCCTCATCACATGCCCAAACCATCTCAGTTTATTTACTTTCATCTTGTCTACTATCGATGCTACACCAATACTACCTATCACTTATTCGTTTCTTATTCTATCTTTTCTTGTCACTCCACTCGTCCATCTAAGCATTCTCATTTCTGCAACATTCATACTCTGTTATATTTTGTCTACACTCCTGTAAAATTTACTTAACCTTTACATAACCTTATTAACAGCCTCATTGGAATTCTCTTATCACATAAAACGCCCAATGCTTCTCTCCATTTCATCTAATCACACTTAGTCCTATGTTATATACCTTAGCCAAAGTCCCCGTCCTTTTGTACAAATTATCTTAAATATTTAAAGTTCTCGATTTTTCCTATCATATCATTACTTATTATCATATGAACAATAACAATATGATTTTTATTGATTGTTTTATTGATAAGAATAGTAAATAAAATATAATTCATTGGATTTATTTTCTAATTTAAAAACCTTAGATCATATACCTACCACTAATGAATAAATTATTTATTTTTTCATTAAATAAAATAAAAAAATTCAATGATTAGATATTGATTCATTGTATTTAGCTAGCGATTTAACCTTTAAGTGAAATTCTGTCCACAGTGTTAGTAAGACATTTACAGCACTTAAGGTAAGCAGTAAGCACAAAAATAATTAATAGTTAAAGATTTTAAATATAATTTGAGTACTATAAGCTATATAAAATAAATAAAATTTTATTAAATTATAACTTTTAAGTAAAATAAAAGATGTAGAATTTAAAATAAATTTCCCAATTTCTCATTAGTTATTAGTATACCAATTTAATATTGAAATTTCCCAATTAATAAAAATGTTAACAAAACGTAAAAAAACAAATGCATACAAAAAAGTTATATATATTATTATAGTATTATAAACATTCGTCATAGTATTCAAATCCGTGAATAAAATTACGAAACCTAATGAAAATTATTAATAAAAATCATTAAATAAAATATCGAATATATCAATAACAAAGTGGCATATTTTAATGAACAATTTAAAGCAATAAACGAGTAGAAATCAAAAATTTGAATCTAACATCATTAATATTTAATCATTGTACTCAATATATAAATTACCGTTTAAGTATATTAAAACACTTGCATGTATAGCTATTTTTTTTTTTTTATATCAAGAAAACTCTTCTTTTTCATACCTCTAGTTTTACAACTGCGATAAGATATTTTTTCCGTTTCCAGTCCTTGAAATACAAAAAAATAACTTTGTTACTATTGATCGAAACAGAATTTTTTAAAGGAAACCGTTTCAGTGTTTAAAAATGACAAGTGTATTTGCGTATTTATTCATTACATTGGGGAAACAAAGTTTTTAATTATATAAAAATATTAATTCAATTTTGAAATTGGTTTATTAGTAGAAATATTTAATTAAAAGTTAAACTTAAAATCGAAACGTTTAACAATTATACAATTTATACGTGTAGAACTTCATACAATAAATAAATAACACTATCACTTTAATATAAACTGTGAAATAGCAGTACACTGTTAAAAAAAAATTATAAATAAATGCGTATTTAACTATTTACAGAAACAACAAATTGCATTATTTTAATTTATCAATATTTTTATTATCACTTTTAATTTTTTATAATTTGTATTGTATTTAAAAAAATAAGGATTAACGATTAAATAACATTTTAATTAAATCACATTAATAAATAAAACCTTAAAAAAATAATTACTTTCGAACTAATAATTATTAGATTCAAGAGTAGAAAAGATGCTGCTTAAAATATAGAACAAAGAAATTCTGAATAAGTATTGTTAACTGTTGAATTTTACTGTTCATAGTCCTCCTAGTTTCTTATTTAATAGTTACCACAAATTACGTTAATTAATTATGAAAAACTATTATTATTAATAATATAATTTATCAATGATGATAATGAAAAATTTTTAGTGGTGCTATAAATAACATCAATCAATATTATATTTATTTCCTACACTTTTTGGTCATTATTTAAATTATATGTTTATTTACAAAACTGAATAGTAAATACATTACTAATAAGTTTTATAATTTAATAAACATTAAACTGTACATTAACATCTATTATCATTATTTCCTACGGTTGTTCAATTTAGGTTATTAGACATCTATTCATAATTAAATATTGTAAATGTATTCATAACTTTTTCGCTGTTAATAAATAATTTATTTTTTAAATGCCTTAAGCTGTATAAGATTTTATTATTCAATTAAAACGTGTATATACAGTATACAGTTTAATAGAACAATTATTTTTTATACACTTCAGTGCAAATAAGATTTTACATTTTTTAGCAGAAATATATATTTATACATAAAATCTTTTTGTTAAAGGCTAATTATCCACATATTTTAAAAAACAATTATTTTCCAAATCTTATTAGATCTTAACAATTACATGAAATGGCAATGAAAATCTTATCATTATAATTACTAATAACACTCATACATTCATACATACAACTACTTTTCATTAAATCTATACATTGTTAGCATTTTTATATAAGTTTATTACAAGAAGTCAATGTTATTTATTTTATTCATTTTTAATATTTTATTAGCGGATTTTAAACTAAAGTTAGTACTTGCTTCAGAAACAAAATTATTAAATTATACTAAGGCCAAATGCCAACAATGTTTACAGTTGCTTTTTATTAATTATGAATAATTTTCATTTGACATTTCTTCATTACTTGCATTTTGATAATCATGTGATTATAAAGTATTCAACAACGGAACTCATTAAAGAATTTTTTTTTTTTTTAGATAGCGACAAAACGATAGAAACAATATAAGTACTACAATTGTTGTAAAAATGAAAATATATTTCAAATTTTATGTATTAATATATTTTGTTTTTCAGAGGTTGTGTCAAGATAATTTTTTATCCGACCCCAAGGAATCTTTTTCGATGGAAGACACCCGAAGCGCTTGATTATAAATCCGAGAGTTGAAGGAAAAATACCAAGTATCCAAAGGGAACGTATATAGACCTTAGGAGAGAAAAGGGTTCACAAAAGGTCACATGTAATTCGACATTTTCATCTATATAATATTGTTGAACAATATTCTTTTTTTAATTATTACTTATTAATTTTAAGCTATCTACTAAAATTGTTAACCAACAATTAATATCCAAACCAAAGAAATAAAATTCATTCAATATTATATAGTACTTATCATAGAAAAAAATGTCCATTATATTTTTATTTTAACTGATATTGATATTTAAACTTCTATTTAAAACAATAGCGTAGACATAACAATATTTTAATTGTTGTTGATCGTCTTGTAAATACCTATCAGCTGTAACTAATAATATATATTGTAGAAAAGCTTTATAAAAAGTATAAAAGTATTATAAGTTATACTAGTTAGTTGTACTTATAAGTTTAATTAAAGCACTAAACCACAACTTAAATTTTAGTTTTAAAGTATATTCTGCCACACTAGTAATTCAAAGCATGATATATTAAAATAATGTGATATAATGTACCATAGTTCTAAGCAAACAGTTCTTAATAATTTATTATTCATTAGTTAATAATACATAAACATTAAACCGACAATTATTTTATAAGTAAGTAATACAATAATGAATAAAAATAAATAAATTATAATAGTTTTAAAGTAAAATTTTATAAAATGTCTATAATTCAATCCAGTACTACTTAAAAATTCCGTAAACAATAGTAAATTCTACCAATAATAAATGTCTACTTACATCTTTCGATCTGTAAACATGATCCGTTGTACTATTGAATGGGATTTTCGGATTAAAATGAACGGTGGCAGACGTCCTTCGTCCCGTATCGGACGACCGACCTGAAATCCATTAATACATTTAGTAAATCTGTTGGAACTAAAATGATAGAGAATTTTGTATATGCATAGTATATTATATATTATATATGTTACATACGACTGTATTCAAGTCGAGATGACGATAATGGGAAAGCGAGCAATCTATTGCCCGATTCACACATAAATCAATGTCGCGTTCTATAATGCAATTTCAGGATCATATATTTATCAAATATATTTACTTGTATCTTGCCCTCATACTCGTATTGCGCAATCGTAGCTTTAGATTGTATTAATGATTGAAAATAAATAAATAATTATACTCCTCAAAATGAATCAATAAAAATACTATATTAATTATAAATTACTCATTTACAGCAAATAATAATTAATATTCAAATTTGTATACTGTTTTGAACTTAGAATCATTTTTAGGTTCAAATAGATAGTTGATTAGTAATTATAAACCATACGCATACATTTATATTTAAATAATATCAATTCAAATAAATTTTAAATCAAAGACAAAACGAAATGTATTTCGATTTAAAACTTCCAACAGATTTTGAAAACACGATATATTACAGATACGAAATAATATAATTTTCATATTATAACATTATTTTGTGTACAGCTCAATGGATTATCAATGATAGAAGACAAATACTTTAGTTTATTATAATGTGTAACATTATAATAAAAAAATGTAATTTTAATACATTATAAATAAATTTCTTCAATCTGATGTTAAAATGGTGAAATAATGATAAACTTATATTTACATTAGATTATATTTATATTCCAAGTCTACGCTTCTATTTTATTTATATAATATAAAAAAGCTTAAAATTGAGTTCTTAAGAAATGATTAATTCATCAAGAAGTACAATAAAGTATAACTAATAAAACTTTTTCACATATATGATATAAATAATGTCTTTAATTGAATTTGTTACATTATATATTTTTAATTGAAATAAAATTAATTTCAATTCTAAATAGAATACTACGACTTTCAGTATAATCAATCAAATTATAATTTTAAATATATTTTTTTTTTTTTTAATTATAACCACATTACAGATACTAAATTGTAAAATTATTATTAAAAAAATATTAACTGTTAAATTTTATTAGACATTTCTTTATAATACACTTTAAATATCTACGCTTATAACGAAATGTTACTCTTTACAAAATATATTTTATCATCATTTGACAGTATAATACATACTGACACAATGTAAAAATAAAATATAAAATACTTAATAGAAGATTATAAGCATACGTTCAATAGTAAATAGTAAAACAATGAAAATAATGTAATTTGTTTCTGATGAACCAAGAAATCAAGGATGTTGTGTAAAGAAATTATTTTAAGTTTACCCTTACTAATTGTATTACCATAGAAGTTACTACACTTAATATAACACATTAATCATGCATTGTATATTTAAAACAGTACACAACATTTTTCCATTATCTTTGTATTAATTATTAATTAAATTATTAAAACAATTTGTAATTTAAAAACTGTCTACATTTGAAAGAAAAAATCAGTCACATATAATACTCATAATAATTGATACTAAATGAGTTTAAAATCCTTAAATATACAAAATATAAAATGTTTTTCCGTCTTAACTGGATCAACTGAATCCTCTTTCTTTTTCTCTACACTAAATATATTTTATGCTGATAAGCACGATCCTCTATCATTGTCGTTCACTGCCAAATACTATGTAATTATTATAATAATTAGCGTCCTACAATTTATTTCATCATTACATCATAGCAATATTTTAATCACTTTTGATTCTTAATCCTGACTTCTTGCTTTGTCATTAAATCCGTTTAACTCTTCTTTATCCCTTCTTGTACTTTTTATCAATTCTCTATTTTTGAATACCTTCCAGGTAACCACAAGCTCTTACGTAAAGCATGGCAATCAAAATGGTCCTCTCCCCTCCCTAACTATGATGGCTATTATAGAAATACAATTTCCAGTATTTCCCTCTACCCTTGGCTTAGATGTTTAGGCATTCCTAGATATCTAATTGTTTCATTCACTCGCCTCTGAATCGTACATAGTCTACTTCCTTACACCTCTTTCCACCTTTCTTTAAATTTTTCTCTTTGTACCTCTCATTACAACGAAACTACTTGTGATCTAAATCACCCCTTATTTAATTGTTCTTTTTTATTAGCAGACATCTTTTTCTCACTTTTACAGTCCTGGGTTACCTCCGTTTAGATATTAATTTCCTCCTTAATTCCCGTTAACTCATTATCATTAACGTTCTCATTAAATGCATTATTAATGCTTTCTATTTTAATCTTATGTTATATTTATGATAATAACGATCAATTGTATAGCTGTAATGTTACTAATAAAGGCAATAAAAATTGAAACTAAAAATAAAATAAAAATTGTTTTAAATGTAGAAAATTTGTTAACTAAATTTTATAGTGAATATGGCTTGAACGGTTTGAAAAAAAGTTAAGCCACCTAATAGAGATACTTTAAGGTGAAATTAACTAACTAACCTAAGTGGTATTAAACGGAAAGTTATGAAATTGGTTGTAAAAACTAAATAGTTACTAAACTAAGTTACAAAATTATCCTTGAAGCAATTCAATCTTAGTTTAATTGCTATAAAATAATCATTACAGTAATTGATAAATAACCAGTCAATTAATTTGCAATAATCATACTTTTTTACCTCGGACCATAAAAAAACAACTTTTTTTTACCGCGGGCCATAAAAAAATGTATTTTTCAATTTTTTTTTTTTTACGTAAATGTAAAATATTACAGTTACGCAAATAAGTGTTGTAACGTAGAATACATTCGCGGGCCAGATATTCAATGATGGCGGGCCGAAGTTGGCCCGCGGGCCGTAGTTTGGCCACCACTGTTGTATAGGTAATGAAATATTTTACAAACTAAATAATGATTATAAACATTTGAATTGAAAATAAAATATTTTAATATATATATTTAGCTCTGCGCATAAGTATAAATATTATTAATCATTTGATAACAATTGTTCTATAAATATATTTGTTCAAACCTATTTTGAAGGTAATATTTTAATTCCCGTGTGATTTATTAAATCGGGGATATCATTTTTTACCATATGCATAGTTGGATGGATATTATTACTGTAAACAACAACACAATATTATTATTATACGTTTCATTATTATTATAGTATCTTATTAAAAGTTATAACCATTTAATGAAGGTATTCGCAAAACAACACCACAACGCAGAAACTTTATATTTCCGCATGTATTAAAAATATGTTAAAATACTTGCAACAATATTAGATTGTTTTAATTCGCAAAAAATAATTTTTATAAAAATATACTATAAAATACGATAATAAAAATTAGCAGATTCAAGTGTTAACGAAAGTTACACATTTTAATGGTGTTTACAAATGTTATTACTTTAATAAAATTATACTTAAGATCAAGTTGCTTACGTGTATATACTACGTAGGTATTCATATACGTCATGCAAATTTAAAATTTAAAACAAAATTCGTCATGATATTATATTTTTAAATTATAAGAGAAATGTGGAATTTAACAATTTTATAATAATTATTTACTTTTGCTGTAAACACTCTATCAGTTAGAAAATCAGCACCAAAAGTTAAATTTACCTATAAACTTTTTGAATTGAATATTAAACACAGATTTTACTTTAAAATCGTAATTTTTTCGATTTTCTTAAGAATTTTTATATAAAGAATGAAAAATTGAGAACGTGAAAACGATGTCGAATTTCATTCAATAGCCATTTCAGTTCATTTTTATAAAATGAATCATTTTAAAATTTGTCACTAGTAAATTGAAAACAACTATAAGCTATTCTACCAAGTGTTTAAAAGTCTGAAGTAGTGGCACTGTACACTTTTTTTAAAAATGTTTTAATATTCGAAATGGAAAAAATTTATTATTTTTCAAATATTTAAGATTTATTTATTTTAATCTATTAAATATTCACATCATATATATATTATTCCAATATTTGATTAGTATATTGTGTTTGGAAAGCAATAATGAATAAATACCGCCTTTAAATTAATCAAATTTAAAAAAATAATACTACAAATACAAATATAGAAATAACAAATACCCTGCTTCCAGTATCTCTCAGGATAACGTATATATACTTGGTAAAATCGACAATGTCATGAAAAAGAAACGGCCTTTACACATTTCAAGAAATACCAAAATATTTCAAGAAGTTATTACTTCAATTTAACATTATGTGATCGTTCACTTCATGTACCAGATATTTCGTACTTATTATAATTAACTTCTACATTCGACTTTTATCAACGATTATTAAATAATAAGATTATACTCATACAATGATCTGATTATCTGCTTTACGTAATTTTCATAATTTTTGATATAATACATACAAGTATATAAAAATATAATATATTTAAAATATCATTTAGGTAATACTTTGATTATTTGATACTCAAGTGTAGTGTATAGTTGCTATATGGATTATATTATATACATGACATATATATATATATATATATATATATATATATATA